AGTAGTGGGGAAAGTGATGGAAACCATGTTAAAGGATAGGATTGATGAACATCTAAAACACATGGATTTCAAGATCAGAGACAACATGGGTTTACTTCAGGGAGATCATGCCAAACTAATCTTATTGATTTTTTTGATTGGGTAACTAAAATTATAGATCAGGGTGGTGCAGCAGACATTGCTTACCTAGATTTCAGTAAGGCTTTTGACACTGTTGCACATAGAAGGTTTATCAATAAACTGCAATCTTTAAGTTTGGATTCCAATATTGTTGAATGGGTAAGGCAGTGGCTGAGTGACAGGCAACAGAGGGTTGTAGTTAATGGAATATATTCGAAGCTTGGACTTGTCACCAGTGGGGTACCTCAGGGATCTTGGACCCATTCTCTTTAATATTTTTATTAGTGATATTGCAAAAGGTCTGGATGGTAAGGTATGTCTTTTTGCTGATGATACTAAGATATGTAACAGGGTTGATGTTCCAGGAGGGATAAGCCAAATGACAAATGATTTAGGTAAACTAGAAAATGGTCAGAATTGTGGCAACTGACATTTAATGTGGATAAGTGCAAGATAATGCATCTTGGATGTAAAACCCAAGGGCAGAGTACAGAATATTTGATAGAGTCCTAACCTCAACATCTGAGGAAAGGGATTTAGGGGTGATTATTTCTGATGACTTAAAGGTAGGCAGACAATGTAATAGAGCAGCAGGAAATGCTAGCAGAAAGCTTGGTTGTATAGGGAGAGGTATTAGCAGTAGAAAGAGGGAAGTGCTCATGCCATTGTACAGAACACTGGTGAGACCTCACTTGGAGTATTGTACAAAGTACTGGAGACCGTATCTTCAGAAGGATATTGATACCTTAGAGAGGGTTCAGAGAAGGGCTACTAAACTGGTTCATGGATTGCGGGATAAAACTTACCAGGAAAGGTTAAAGGATCTCAACATGTATAGCTTGGAGGAAAGACGAGACAGGGGGGGATATGATAGAAACATTTAAATATATAAAGGGAATCAACACAGTAAAGGAGGAGACTATATTTAAAAGAAGAAAAACTACCACAACAAGAGGACATAGTCTTAAATTAGAGGGACAAAGGCTTAAAAATAATATCAGGAAGTATTACTTTAATGAGAGGGTAGTGGATGCATGGAATAGCCTTCCAGCTGAAGTGGTAGAGGTTAACACAGTAAAGGAGTTTAAGCATGCGTGGGATAGGCATAAGGCTATCCTAACTATAAGATAAGACTAGGGACTAATGAAAGTATTTAGAAAATTGGGCAGACTAGATGGGCCGAATGGTTCTTATCTGCCGTCACATTCTATGTTTCTATGAGTCAGATATATGTCGGCTTATACTCGTTTCAGGAGCTTCGAGGTGTTGCAGCCATTCCGTTCAGGCACTAGGCGCTGCCCCCAACAATACACTTTTTTTATCACTATTTTATCTTATTATATACTGTATTGCTTTCATTATTTTTTAATATTAAAGTACTTTTTTAATTGGACCTAACTTTGCTGCTGTTGGATTGTTTGGATGTAACAATTTATATTTATACCTGTATCCTTGAGTGGGGATCATACCACTTCAAGCGCTATCAGAGGAGCCAGGTTTTACGTCTTATAGTTTTTACATACCCTTGCTCCATAGCTCTACATACTTCACCATATATGATTTTTATTTGTTAATTTTTTATGAGGATAGATACCCCCTACTACACTTACAATCGAAGAATTACCTCTGCACTTGATCCATAGGCGGGGATTATTCCGCCCAGGAGCATACACTGGAGCTGTATTGAAGCTCCAGAAAAGTGTGAGTGCACATCTTTTATCTTACCTATCACAACTACCGTTTTAAAATACTACACTATTATTTCTTCTCCGGTTCTCTCCATATATACCTTGTCAAGGATTACTGAAGCGCTGCACCTACCCCTCTGTTTTTATCCTGGTTTTCTAAACGGAAAAGAGAGACTTCGTATTGGTGTTTGAGCTGCTTGTAGACTATTATCATCTTGCTCCTGCGCTGAATTGTATTTTTGTGTTATTGTGACTAACGTAAATGGTGTCTGCTTACGGAGTCATGCGTGTGAAATAGTTAACTAGTAAAACATAAAAAAAAGCTAATCTAAAACTACGAACCAAAGAAAAATATGAAGCATATATGCTGCAGGCCTGCATTGGACAGAGCACGTTGCAAGAGTCCTCTTCAACGTGGTAAGTCCCTGGGACACTTTGCAGCTGCTCTAGGCACAAACATGGTTATTTGGTCTAGAGATCACAACTGACTGGGAGCTGCTGGGAATGATCCGGCCGGTATACCCAGCTCCTGAAGTAGGGGGGTTGCTTCAAAGAGGTGTACAAGGGAGCAGGTTTTTCCATCTTTTTCTGCTATAAGCCAGTTTGTGCCCCACTTATATGGCACCTCATGGTCTCGTAGATGCTGGGTAAGATGTCAAAGGGATTGCCTCCACAGGATAGTGTGTCTGGACAAATCTTGGTAGAGGTTTTGCGTATTACCCTCAAAAATCGTGGAAGAGGTATTTCACGTCGCCCCCATGACCAGTCGTCTGTCAGAGTCCTGAACGAACTTAATGAGGACTTCCTGAGAGTTTTCCGGGGGGCCCTGGCTGGTGTGAGCAAATGGAAGCAGTAATCCACCACTACATGCTTAGCTTGTTTCGGTGGGAGCAGTGTGGCGACAAGCCGCCGTACAAAGTGGGGCAACTCACTTGGTGCAGGGGGGTCCAGATATCTCAGAACCGAGGTTCGTTTAGTGTAGCGGATGGCACTGGGCTGTCCTGCAAATGTCTTGTGAATAACTGCATTCATGTGATCTGCTAGTTTTATATGTGTTTAAAAGAATTGTATTCCTCTGATTGTTCGGTAGAATCATTCGAATAAACTAAGGGAATGAAACTACCGTACAATCAGACCTCCCCTGTGTTAAGTGTGTCCTCAATTACCCGTTGCAACATTGTTGCGAACGGGTAATTGACAAGTTAAGTAGCCGTCCTTTTGTTCATTTTAAAACTCCCGAACAGCGGTGTTTTGCCGTTGAGTGTCTGGAACTCAAATCGGACACTCGACTAGGCGAACACCGCTGAAACCTCCACAAGCCCGGTCCGTTCGGTTCCAAACTACCGAACGGCCCCTCGTTCGGTAGATAGAAAGAACCGAACGAGGGGATTCAGGCGAACCCTCCCTAGCCTCTATAGCTAGAGGCTTTCGTGCAGTTTGTTCCCTTATTCCAGGACCGACCGCAGGGCCCATTCGCATGGAACCGCATTCGGCTATTTCAGTCAGTGCGGTCGGTCATTTTATTCCCTCCATAAATTTCCCGAACCCCTGGTCTGATCTGGGTGATTTTTGGATATGTTGTTCACCCAGATCAGGGCTATCAGGGGATGTAGGATTTAAAGGGGTACCCTTACGTTTAGGAGTACATCCAGAAACGTGGGGAATTGCTAGACTGGATAAGGGGATTATGATGCTGGCTGAGGGGAGGAGATGTGTGGGAGGTTACCAGGACAGGATTGGCTACTGTACTAATGATTGTAAATCCCTCCCTTGCATGGGAGCATGCTTTAAAAGGACACTGTGGATTAAAAGATTTCAGTTCTGCTCCTGAAACTGTGTGTCATCCAGTTATTGGGATTGCTGTGGGATATTGCTGTTATTTTACCTGCTGGAAACCTTGCCTGTGGATTTACTATTTACTTGTTCCTGAGCCTCACTTGGATTATAAGCGGAGATAACCTGGGGAATATTGCATCTCCGCTACAGTTTTGGCCCTCAATTTTTTTTTTCTTACCCATCTGCTTTGTGGGTGAATTCTCTGTTTTCGGGTTCCGGGGTGTGAGTTAACATTGCAAGTTACTGCAGAGTTTGTGGAAACCAAGCGGAGCTCCCTCAGCATGCTTCCGACTCGGCAGTTTGCTGGCTCTGCCCCCCTTTATTAATTTTGTAGCTCATCTCTGCACTTTTTCTTGTTGTTTGATATTTATCTGTATTGAATCTCATCTGTGCCCTGCCTATCTAGTCCCCCAATTTATCCAAATCCCTCTGTAGAAAAGTATTTTTAGACTAAATTACCTTTTTTAGATTTGTCATCTGCAAACACTGATACACGACTTTCAGTGCCCACTTTAAACCTTCTGTGTGGAACTGTATAAAAATCCACATAGATCACATCCACTTGTAACAACCCTATCTATATTTCTCCTCACTTCTTCATAGAATATAATTTAGTTTGATATGACCTGTTTTTCATAAAATCACGTTGATTCCTGTAAATTATATTGATGCTCAAAAAGAATTCACGAATATCACCCCTTAAATGGTTTGCCAACCGTTGATATTAAGCTCATGGGTCTGTAGTGTCTGTGTTGAGCTATAAAATCCTTTTAATTACAGGCACCACCTATGCTTTTCTCCAATCCTTTTATATGATTCCTAAAAGAAAAGGTCCCTTAAAGATCAAAACCAGTGTTTGTTTTTTTTTTTTTGTTTTTTTTTATAAATTGTTTATTTTGAGAAATTTGAGTACTTATACGGGGTACAGAAAAAAGAGAAGGGTGTGGGGAACAACAGATCGTAGTACAGACCGTATACATGAAACTATTTCCTTTTCTAACCGTGCCCAAGTTGACTTAAGTCCCCTCTGTCTGAAAGGGCTGTCAGGGGTGTACCTGCTCCTAATCTCTGTTTAGGGAAGTAAGTGTGCAGAGATGTACTGGTTTGTGCGAGTGGCTCGTTTTAGTATGTATCCAGAGCAGGTGGGTCAGTTTTGAGGTCTCCTTGCCTTTTGTACTACAAACCCGGACAGAGAGAGAATTTTCAACAGGAAAAAACATAAGAAATAAAACGTAACGAAGTCTGTGCCTAGTTTCAAAAACTGCGGTCTAATAGTTACATGTACTTTTACTAACTTTGCGGGTGGTAGCGCAGTTGTGTCGTAACTCTGATGGCTCAGTTTTCACTGATGTGAGTGTGTGTGGCGTATGTGGTTGTCGGAGCCTTGTTGGCTCTTCTGTGATGTGGATTTCATTGAACAGGTCTTGTGCAGGTGGTGGGGGTATGGGGTGGGGGCAATTGGAGGGACTCCGTTGGGAGTGAATCGGGGAGGGGAGAGGGTCCGGAGGGCCGTGGTCCGCCCCGGTCCCCAGTCCGCGCCCGTCAATGTTATACCGTACCCCAGGGGCCCCAGATTTTCCGGGCTGAGTTGGTTGTCTCATGGACCAGGGCAGACAACTCATCCATCTCTCTGGATTCCTCTATCTTCCTCCGTACCTCCGGCATTGCCGGGATATCCGTACTTCCCCAATGGGCTGCTATCGTCCTTCGCGTCACTAGCACTATCTTTGCCACTAGTTTGTTCTGTGCCCTGGGAAGGGCCTCCATGGGTTTGGATAATAACCATGTCCACGGGTCCAGTGGGAGGTCTGTTTGCAGTGCTCTGGAGGTGATTTCTACAATCTCCTTCCAAAGTCTGGATACATGTACGCACTCAAACCAAATGTGGAGATACGTGCCTTGTGCCCCGCAGCCCTTCCAGCAACGATCGGAGTTCGTTTGCCGCATTTGTTTGAGTTTTAGGGGGGTGATGTACCATCGGAGCAGGGTTTTGTACGCCTGCTCCTTATGGTTTACACAAATTGTTACAGAGGCTGTGGCCTCCCAAACGTCCGCCCAATCTGAGGGGTCACTCGGGGGGCCCAGGTCTCTCTCCCATGCTCTCACATAGGAGAAGGCTTCTGGAGGGGCATCCCTGGCTAAAGCATTATAAAGAGTGGAGATTTGGCCCTTCTGTACGGGTGTGTGTTGGCACATCTTCTCGAAATGTGTGTGTTGTGTCGTCGCCGCTACCGTGATGGTGGGAGTGGACAAGAAACTTCGCAGCTGGAGGTAACGGAAGTGATTGAAAGTGTTGAAAGGGGTAGTTTGTGGCAGGTCGGCAAATGGGAGACGCCCTGGAAGAAATGGCAGAGTCTAGTTAGATTATTATCCTCAAAGTGGGCATAGTGTCGAGGCGTCATACCCGGAGGGAATTGTTTGTTCCTCAGTACGGGGGTGAGCAGGGAAGGCATGTTTATAAGGTTGTGTTTACTAGTTACTCTGTCCCATATTTGTAGGGACGTCCTCAGGGCCGGCGTGGTCTGGGGCATTTCCGGTCGGTGATGTTTCGGCACCCAAAAGTATAACGATGGGTGGTCTTTGCCAAAAAGGTCGTGCTCTAAGTCTACCCATAGCTTGACCCCAGCCGGTGCACGGAGGGTTTGGATCTGTGCTAGTTGGGCCGCTTGGTGGTAGTCCCAAAAGTTTGGGAGGCCTAGGCCTCCCCTCTTGTGCGGGATATAGAGTGGTTCTTTTTATCCTGACCCTCCTCCCCCCCCACAGATAAATTTGTCTATCTGTGTTTGCTAGGATTTAAAATCAGTTCTCGAGATCGGGTAGGGTTTGAAACAAGTATAGAAAGCGGGGAAGTAGGGTCATTTTTACCGAGGCTATCCTGCCCAACCAGGATATAGATAGTTTTTGCCATTCTGTCAGGTCTTTTTTGGCCTGTTCTAGCAGTGGAGGGTAGTTCAGTCGGCATGTCAAACTTAGGTCCGCGGATATGTACACTCTCAGATATTTAATGCAGTCCAGTCGGAAGCGAAATGGGTACTTTTCTCGTAGGGACTTGTCTACCTCGGGTGGAATGTGAAGCGCCATTGCCTCTGTCTTGTCCAAATTCAATTTGTATCCTGATATCATAGCGTAGTCGTCTAAGAGATGCAGCAAGGGTGGTATTGAGGCCTCAGGGTCAGGAGAAGGTCGTCTGCATAAGCCGCAATTTTATACTCCTCTTTTCGTATTGTTAGCCCTTTAATAGTGGGGTCAAGTCTTATCTTTTGAAGGAGGGGCTCGAGGGAAAGGGCAAAGAGGAGGGGGGAGAGGGGGCATCCCTGTCGTGTGCTGTTGTATATGTGAAAGGGAGGTGATGAGGTATAAGGTAAGAGTATAGGTTGCGGATTGCCGTCAGGAACCCATTGGGAAGTCCAAGTTTTTCCAGTTTCGCGAATAAGTATGGCCATAGAATGCAGTCGAATGCCTTTTCGGCGTCAAGGGAAAGCAGCAGTGTGGGGGTCTCTTTGTGTGTGGCTGCCCATATCAGATCGTAGGTGCGTCTAGTGTTGTCACTGGCTTGTCTGTGTGGAATGAAACCCACTTGTCAGGGTGGATCAACTTCGGGAGATATGGTTGTAGTCTATTAGCGAGGAGTTTAGTGAGTAATTTAATGTCAACATTGAGGAGCGAGATGGGGCGGTAATGTCCGGGGTCCTGATGGGTTTTGTTTGGTTTCAGTATCAGGCTTATGTTCGCCTGCAGCATGTCCGGAGGTATCGCCTCCCCTTTGACAATGGAGGTAAACAGGTCTTTAAGGTGCGGGAGTAGGGCCGTAGAGAATGTCTTATAATATAATCCCGAGAACCCGTCCGGGCCTGGGCATTTGTTGGGTCAGAGGGTTTTAATTGTTTCCACCACCTCTTCCGTTGTGATGGGCGCTTCTAATGTGTCCCTGGCCTCCGACGTAAGCTGTGGGAGGGGTATGTCTCTCAGAAAGTTCTCTGCAGCTATTACAGAGGCGTTTGAGTCCTGTCTGGCTCGTGGATCATGATAGTATAGGTCGGCATAGAATCGGTTAAACACTGCCGCTATCTGAGTCGGGTCGTCTTGTGTGTGCCCGTCTGGAGCCACGATCATGGCTATGCGCGTGTGTATTGCTTTACGTCGTAGTCTGTTGGCCAGGAGAGAGTCCGCTTTATTAGACTTCTCATAGAACATTTGTCTGGCCCAGAGGAGCGCTTTTTTGGAGTCTTGGGTCATGAATGTTTGTATGGCTTGTCTGTGTGTCTGAAGCTGCCGGGAGAGGTCTGGGGTGGGGGTGAGTTTATGCAGGTGTTCTGTTCGTCTGGGTTCCGAGAGGTGATGCGCTAGCTGTGCTAATTTTAGTTTTTTGTGTGCCGTTGCCTCCGCTATTAGGGTACCTCGGACTACCGCCTTATGGGCTGCCCACAGCATACTGTCTGAAGTTACCGAACCTTTATTACTGTCAAAGAAGCCCTGTATGGCCTGTCTTACATTTTCTTGTATGTGTGGGACGTGGAGGAGTGTGGGGTTCAATCTCCAGTTCCATTGTCTACTGGCCTGTGGGAGTTGAACTGAGAGCGTAACGTCAGCGTGATCCGACCATGTGATCTGCCCAATGGATGTTTTGTGTAGAAACTGTATCAATGATGGGGATGTCAGGAACATGTCTATTTGGGAGTACAAAGTGTGTGGATGGGAGAAAAAGGTAAAGTCCGCTGTCAGGGGGTGTTGGAGTCGCCAGACGTCTACTAACTGTGTCTTCGTCAGTAAGGACTGAAACAGTTTGTCCGTTTTCGCAACGGATGATTGGTGGGAGTCCGTCCGAACCCGCCTCCGTCTGTCATAGTCTGGGGCTGGAACCGCGTTAAAATCTCCACCTACAACGATGTGGTGGGAGGGGAAGAGGCCCAGGTGAGCCTGGAATGAGTTCCAAAATTGCACCGATGGGATCGTGGGAGCGTAGACTGAGGTAATGGCATATTTATGTGAGCCCAGGTGTCCTGAAGTCGTCCGGTATCTCCCTAGTGGGTCTGCGACTGTGGTTGTAAAGTGACTAGGGCATGTCTTGCAGACCAGAATAGCTACCCCGTTTTGTTTACCTGAGGGTGAGTTCGCAAGATGGCAGACTGTATAGTGTCTATTGCGTAGAGGGAAAGCCCTCTTATGCTCGAAGTGTGTTTCCTGGAGGAGGATGACGTCCACCCCAGTCCTGTTGGCCCATCAGAGGACACGGTGCCTCTTGGCTGGGTTATTCAGGCCCTTGCAATTGATCGAGACGCAATTTAGCGTGAGCGGATGCCCCGTTCTGATTGGCCCACGGTTGTCCGGGTTGTTTGGTTCCCCGTGAGGCATAGCTGGGGGCGATTGGCAGGCGAGGAGGGGGACCCGGGGTGACCCCCACGTCCAGAGAGAAAGGGAAAAAAAAAAAAGGAGGCGGGCAAGGTCCGGGATTGGTGTAGGGGGGCTTGGGCTTAAGGGAGGAATGCCAAGTCAGGAGGGCGAAAGAGCCTTGCGGTAGAGTGTGTGGGGTTGTTGCCCGTAGGCAAGGGTCTCGTAGGGGTTGGGGTTGGGTGCGGGAGGAGAGACGGGCCACAACTATCAGCCTCCACCCCCCCCCCGTGAATTGCTTGTGAGGTGTGCCTGGCACTGGAGTGTAGTTTGTTGAGAACCTGGGATACCATCGCATATAACTGTGGAGAACTATATACAAGAACAACAGTAGCGTATTGGCCTTTGCAGAGTCACTCACAAGCGGAGAACATCATTGTCATACTATCTATGCCAGCTGGCACGTGCGCTCTAGCTTCTGTTGGTTAAGCCTTTCATCCCTACAAACATGTCGTGATTGGGGTATGTATGTCCTGAGGGTCATTCAAGCCCCTTTTTCGTCAGGCCACCGCGCCCCCAGGGAGCGCGCCAGTGCTACCTCTGCCCCCCCGGAGGGGAGGCATCACCCAGCGCGGCCCGCCGTTCAGTTCGGAGGGGGAGCCCCTCCCCCCCCCGGGACCCGTCGCGCATCCCTTTTCCTTCCTTATCTTTTTCCCCCCTCCTCTCCCCCCCCCCATGCTTTGAAGGTGTATATTGTGACACATTAGGTAGCGATCCGACAGACGGGGGGGAGGGGGGAACGAAGTAGGACCCACGCCCGAAGGGGCGATCTGTTGCTCTAATGGTCGGCTACGTAATCTGTAACAGGAGTAGTCCTCTTAGCTCGCTCCGGTCTAAGGCCCAAGGCCCAGCCCCGACCGGAGCCACCAGCCTTACTTGAATGGGTGTCCCCCTCCCCTCCCAGGCCTCAGATGTTGTGCATGTGCTGGTAGCAATGAAGTTAATCCCTCCACTGAAAGACAGGGGTCCGGGCGCTCCCCGCAGCCCCCGGGAACGGGAGGTGCCGACCCCCACTGCGGGCCCGAGCCCTGGGGATATAACCCTATCCCTACCCCAGGAGCCTGGTCCCCCCCAACGGTTGGACCCCCCTCCCACGCCCTTGGTGAAATCCAGGTCTCCCCCTATCCCAGCCCACAACAACAAACCTCTACCCAGCCTGGATGGGACACCCCCCCCCACGCCACCCCCCCGGATCTCTTACTGTCCAGGGATGTAGTTCATAGAAAGTAGAGAGTTCCAACAGGCCGCGCCAGCAGCGCTGCTGCTTTGAGTGAGCAGTACTCTGCTTAGCTCTGCATCAGCCTCTGTGGTCTGCGGGGGCTCCCCTCCCTCTCCGACGCTCTCTTCCGTGGTGTGTGGCGGGGTGAGCGGTCTGCCATGTCGGCTGCCCCTCTAGGTCCTCCCCTGGGTCGCGATGTAGCTTGTGAGGGTGGCGGCAGGTGCTCCAGGCCCAGGGATGCTGCGAAGGGGGCCATCTCCGTCGCGTTGTAGAGAATGTGGGTCTGGTCGTCTTTGCGGACCACCAACTTAAACGGGTGGCCCCACGTGTATTTAATTCCATAGTGAGTAAGGGACAATGTGAGCTGCCGGAGGTCTCGTCGTTTTTTGAGGGTCAGAGGCGCCAAATCCTGGAAGAAAGCCAGCCTCCGATTCTGGTAAGTTGGTGGAGTTTGCCGCGCTTTTCTAAGAAGTTGTTCTTTGATCGGTGCAGGCGGACAATGACATCCCGCGGGGTGTCTGGGCCTAGGGCTGGGGCCCGGAGGGCTCTGTGGGCCCTATTCATCTCTAGGTCCCGTTCCGACGCCTCTAGTAGCAGGGACCGGAACAGTTCAATAAGTGTTGTCTGAAGGCGGTCGTGGGGCACCGATTCGGGGAGGCCCCGGACCCGGATGTTGTTCCGTCTCGACCTATTATTTAAATCTTCCAGCTCCTCCTCCAGTGTTGCTATCTTCCCATGGAGTTAGGTGATGTCTTGGGAGTGGGAGTGGGAGGTTTCGGCCAAGGATGCCAGCTTTGCTTCAGCCTGGTTGGTCCGTCGGGACAGGGCCTCAGTATCTGTTTTTAGGCCTTGTATATGGCGGTCCAATTCTGCCACTGTGTGCGCCTTTATGCCGGCCGTAGCGTCGAGTAGGAGCGCCTGTAGGTCCCCTTTGGGTAAGGGATTGTCGGCTTCGGTCGGGTGCCCACGGCCCTCCGAGTCTGGGCTGGAATCTGCCATTCCCCCTCGACAAGATGGCAGCCGAGGTTGTGCTTTGCGAGCGGAATATTGTGGCTACGGACGAGTTGTTCTTTCTTTTTTTTTGGATCCTCCCATGCCCAGGTGATGTGCCTGGGTTTAGATGGAAGGGGGTGTCGTTTTTATCGACTTGGGGATCCTGTGGCCGCGGATGTTAGCGGATTATATCACGGGGAGAGAGGGAGCCGCAGATTTAAGCGTCCATCTCCCACCAAGGTCAGGCTCCGCCCATCCAAAACCAGTGTTTTTGGTATTTCTACTCTAAGTACTAGACGGATATCCTCTATATATGATCATGTATATGCGCCACTAGATGCTGTTGGACTATACTGCCCAAAAGAAGACGCCTCTTTCCAAGATAACTTGTAGGATAGGGAGAGATGTGACATCAAAGAGTGTTTTGCTCCATTACATTATCCACAAATTATCTTGTCTTTATTATTATTTATAAAGCGCCAACAAATTCTGCAGCGCTGTACAATATAAGACAAAGTTCCTACATTATCTCTTTTGATTGCATTAGAATTTTCATCAAAATTTTAGCAAAGTCTTTATAGGTTTTTTTTTCAAATTATATATTTATGAAAAACATAAAAAGTGACAATGTCTCTTTAAATCTGATGAATGGTTGGCTTTAATCAATGCTAAATGAGGTAGCATAAAATATATATTCCTGGCTAATCATGGCAGCATCACTTATGGGTAGCTCCGCCCCAATCAGGAACAGGACAGGAAAAAGGTTCAATTAATCTGGACCAGACTGGGGTATAAAAGGTCCCTCCTCCTTCCATCCCACAGTCCTTTTTCCTGTCCTTTCAGGACAAACAGGATTTTTTTTTTTTTTTGGGCCACCTTCCCATGTGTACCATGGGCTTCCAGATGAAGTTCAGCCTCTCTTCATCTGAAGAACTCAGTAAACAGCCTGCACAGGCAGGACTAACTGAGTTTGGTACAGATTAGCATCTGTACTGCTTCGTGGGAGATTACGCATCTAAAGCTTCTCTATGTGCTCTCCCTTTTCAAGGTGACCTGCTTTTTGGTAAAATCCTAGAAGATGCAATTCACAAAGCAGCAGATGGGAGAAAGGCTTTTCTTCCACAAGGGAAAGAAGATTTAGTGCATCTTACTGGAAGGATAAAAAATTTAGAGACCGATCCTTTCGAGATAGCAGAGCATATAGACCGGGGAGAGAATATTCCAGAAATTCTAACTGGAGAAGCTATCAGACAACTACATCAAAACCTGTTAGAGGATCCAGATCAGCCAGTAAAAACTTCTGAACGTTTGCCGGCCCAGCCAGATGTTATAGGAGGCAGACTTCGCTTCTTTTATCCGGTTTGGGCCAAAAGTATTCAAGATACTTGGGTTCTTTCTATTCTTATGCAAGGATACAATATAGAATTCAACGAATTCCCTTCTCAAAATACCTTCATTCGTTCAAGAGTTGCAAAAGGAAGAAAAGAAGTCGCACTGAACAACATTATTTCCCAACTACTGCAGAACCAGGTTATAGAGAAAGTTCCTTACAAAGAGCGTTACAGCGGCCACTATTCTACTATTTATTCGAGGTCCTCCGACACTTCGGCTTTCCAGATCCCTTTATAACTACGATTAAAGCGATGTACACGGACGTTGGGGCTCGGGTCCGGATATCGGGAGCAAAGATGGTACCTTGCAGTTTGGGGAATGGGACCAGACAGGGCTGTCCCCTGTCACCTCTGCTGTTCGCCCTCTCTTTGGAACCCCTCTTACAAACCATAAGAAATAGCTCAGAAATAAAAGGGATTATGATTCGGGATCAGCGGTATGTAGTGTCAGGTTTTGCTGACGACATTTTGCTGACTCTGACCGACCCGATAAAGTCTATGGAGGCACTGGCGACAGTGTTGGAAGCATAAAGTGAACTGGCCGGATATAAGGTGAACCTAACTAAATCAAGCGCACTCACCATAAGCATAATTGACACAGATATAGCCCACATAGGAAATACTTATAGGATCCGTATAGCACAAGACCATATAAAGTACTTGGGGGTTCGATTGACGGCAGATCCTGCCCACCTATTCCAGCAAAACTATGTTCCCATGATCCGAACCTTGATAGGAGACATGGAGAAATGGATAGATAAACCGATCTCTTGGATCGGTAGGATCCATTCGGTAAAAATGAACGTTCTCCCCAGGATTTTGTTCTTATTTCAGGCTCTCCCGGTCAGGCTGACCAAGTCTGATCTGGGGGCTCTCCAACAGGCTATAGGAAAATTTATATGGCAAAACAGGAAACAAAGAGTTTCGCGCAACGTTCTTTATAGGGCAAAGACGAGGGGCGGTTTGGGTTTACCAAACCTTTATTTCTACTATCTAGCGTCCCAGCTAACTCAAATAGCACGTTTGCATTCTCCTCCGGAAGAGATGCGGTGGGTGGACCTAGAGTCTTCCCTCATGGGACCTGACGTCCCTCAATTCTTCATGTGGGTCCCAAGGGACCACAGACCATCTATATGGTAATACAAAAGATCAAGGATACATTCATCATGGACAAGTTAACTGCTCGGGTTCGGGGTACTATTAAGAAACTGGAAAAGGTTTGGGGCCCCTGGATAGACAGCGGAGTGGGTGATTAGGAGAGAGGGGGAATGGGCTTGTTCCCTCCGTACCCCGTCCCTCCTCTACAGATATCGAGATTGATAACAAACTCTCAATTTAATCTCCTATTGTGGGACCCCTGGGATCCCACCGAGAAGTCCACAGGTTACAACTCGCCCCACGGGCGCTACGGTCCTTGTTTAAACATACAGGTATATGGCTACCTGACCACCTGGACGAGCCTGTATTATTTAGGGAAACTCCCTGTAACACCCCCTCCCATTCCCGTCCCTTTTCTTTCTTCTTTTCTCTTTGTACTTTCTGGTTTAACTATCACCTTTTCTATTTTATTACATTTCTCACTCTCTAACTCTGACTGACTTCTATTCCTCGACCAACCCGCTAGCTAAAGCCTTTACTAGCTGGGGCGAGTTGAAGGGCGCCTGCAGGTTAATCACGATTAAAATGGCAATACAACATTGGCAATCTTGTGCACTAGGCTGGAGTCCGCTGACTTCGCTAACCTCTTAACGCATTCTATGGGTCGATGATGATAGGTAACGTGAAAGAGTAACATGTGTATTACAGTCAGTATTACTTAATTCAAAAATGGGTGGGACGCCACTATATACGGACACTCATAGTCAACAAGCAACAGTTAGCTATATTGTTCAAAGATGGTTCTATGGATATGAGCAACTATTTGCCTCTAAGTAATGTTGACTTGCGTCAGAGTTAATGTACGCATTTGTATTATGTTGCATATCTTGTTGTGGTGTCTGATCTGGATATAAATAAAGAATTAAAAAAAAAAAAAAAAGAAATTCATGCATTCTCCTGTGATGAGAACCATTTTCATGTGTTCCACGACAGGGTGGTCTTGAGACCTAGACAAGAGTTTCTGCCAAAAGTGGTCTTGAATTTCCACATCCTCCAGGAAATTGTTATTCCTTCCTTTTATCCGTCTCCTTCTTCTCCATCGGAAGTGAAACTTCATCAATTGGACGTCAGACAGTGCCTACTCATGTATATCGAAGTATCTCAACATTTTCGAAAGTCTCAACATCTGCTTGTTCTTCCAATAGGGCCCAGAAGAGGGGAAGCAGCCTCTACTTCCACTTGAGACGTTGGATTTCCAACACTATAACCAAGGCTTATCAGTTGAAAAACCTTACTCCTCCTAGTAGGATCAAGTCTCACTCTACAAGGGCTTTGGCAACACCATGGGCTAACTGGGCAGAGGTTCCATCTGACGACATCTGTAAGGCAGCTACGTGGTCTTCACCTCTCACTTTCATCAAGCACTACAAACTGGATTTGGCTTCATCCTCTCCGGCCTTTGGTAGAGGTGTTCTATCCTCTGTGGAGTCTAACTAAATTAAACTTAATTCAGCATCCTCTGGTGTGGAGTGTTTGGCTTGATTTGGGTTTTTCCCTCCCTATGGTGGAGCTTGGGTATTACCCATAAGTGATGCTGCCATGATTAGCCAGGAATACAGAAAATGTTATCATGCTTACCGTAATTCTCTTTTCCTGGCTATTATTCATGGCAGCATCAACCAACCCCCCAACCCCCCCCCCCTTTAAAATTGTTTTAAGCTTTGGCACTGTGGGATGGAAGGAGGAGGGACCTTTTAAACCCCAGTCTGGTCCAGATTAATTGAACCTTTTTTCCTCTCCTGTTCCTGATTGGGGCGGAGCTACCCATAAGTGATGCTGACATGAATAATAGCCAGGAAAAGAAAATTACAGTATGATAAAATTTTCTGTATTTATTCATAGAGATGTCGCGAACTGTCCGCCGGCGAACAATAGCGTGTTCGCGTTGGGCGAACATATCCGATTTCCGGTCCGCCCCCTATTCGTCATCATTGAGTAAACTTTGACCCGGAACCTCACAGTCAGCAGACACTTCTTGGGAGGGAGGGTCTGCTGCTGATTGGGTGGAATGTGTCTGCTGGCTGTGAGGTTCCGGGTCAAAGTTTACTCAATGATGACGTATAGGGGGCGGACCGGAATTCGGATATGTTCACCCAACGCGAACACGCTATTGTTTGCCGGCGGACAGTTCGCGACATCTCTATTTATTCCAAAGATTGCAGCTTTGGCCTACTTTTGCATGCATATTCTCACAAATCACCGATTAACAAGTCAAACCATTTGGTCTTATGACACACGAGTGACTCCTGTACTAGGCACTACATTACGTTACCTCCCTAGTGGACCTGTCACCCCGCGGAAGGTTTCTGTAATGTAGGTCCGGCTATGGTCGCCGCCTGTGTCTGCCCTTCCTGTTCTGTTATTGGCTGGCAGCTCCGTCACTCACGATCGACGTGTTCCATTCTGCGCTTCCGGCTGCGAGGCGGGGCCGTGCTCAGTGAGCGAGGAGGAGTCTGAGCTGAGATCCGGATCGAGATCCCGGGGGCAGCAGCGGCAGCAGCAGACAGTGATCCCCTCATTCCGGACAGACAGACAGATACAGCCCTCCCTCCTGCACCAACCGAGGAGCACCTCACAGGAGGGCAGCCAGGAGGAACCATTGAGCCAGGTGTGTGCTGGGAGATGGACAGAGGGTGCATGGCTGGCATGGGAGGCAGGGACTGCTCAGTGCATTGTGAGGAGCACACGCTGCTTGGGAAATCCCTGCTGGAGAAATAGCATGCAGAGCATTATATATATATATATATATATATATATATATATATATCACCATTATCAGCTCTGTGACTAGCATTCACAGTATCCATATCACCATTATCAGCTCTGTGACTAGCATTCACAGTATCCATATCACCATTATCAGCTCTGGGACTAGCATTCACAGTATCCATATCACCATTATCAGCTCTGGGACTAGCATTCACAGTATCCATATCACCATTATCAGCTCTGGGACTAGCATTCACAGTATCCATATCACCATTATCAGCTCTGGGACTAGCATTCACAGTATCCATATCACCATTATCAGCTCTGGGACTAGCATTCACAGTATCCATATCACCATTATCAGCTCTCTGACTAGCATTCACAGTATCCATATCACCATTATCAGCTCTCGGACTAGCATTCACAGTATCCATATCACCATTATCAGCTCTGGGACTAGCATTCACAGTATCCATATCACCATTATCAGCTCTTTGACTAGCATTCACAGTATCCATATCACCATTATCAGCTCTTTGACTAGCATTCACAGTATCCATATCACCATTATCAGCTCTGTGACTAGCATTCACAGTATCCATATCACCATTATCAGCTCTGTGACTAGCATTCACAGTATCCATATCACCATTATCAGCTCTGTGACTAGCATTCACAGTATCCATATCACCATTATCAGCTCTCTGACTAGCATTCACTGTATCCATATCACCATTATCAGCTCTCTGACTAGCATTCACAGTATCCATATCACCATTATCAGCTCTCTGACTAGCATTCACAGTATCCATATCACCATTATCAGCTCTGGGACTAGCATTCACAGTATCCATATCACCATTATCAGCTCTGGGACTAGCATTCACAGTATCCATATCACCATTATCAGCTCTGGGACTAGCATTCACAGTATCCATATCACCATTATCAGCTCTGGGACTAGCATTCACAGTATCCATATCACCATTATCAGCTCTGGGACTAGCGTTCACAGTATCCATATCACCATTATCAGCTCTGGGACTAGCATTCACAGTATCCATATCACCATTATCAGCTCTTTGACTAGCATTCACAGTATCCATATCACCATTATCAGCTCTGGGACTAGCGTTCACAGTATCCATATCACCATTTGACTAGCATTCACAGTATCCATATCACCATTATCAGCTCTTTGTGACTAGCATTCACAGTATCCATATCACCATTATCAGCTCTGTGACTAGCATTCACTGTATCCATATCACATTATCAGCTCTCTGACTAGCATTCACTGTATCCATATCACCATTATCAGCTCTCTGACTAGCATTCACAGTATCCATATCACCATTATCAGCTCTCTGACTAGCATTCACAGTATCCATATCACCATTATCAGCTCTGGGACTAGCATTCACAGTATCCATATCACCATTATCAGCTCTGGGACTAGCATTCACAGTATCCATATCACCATTATCAGCTCTGGGACTAGATTCTATCCATATCACCATTATCAGCTCTGTGACTAGCATCACAGTATCCATATCACCATTATCAGCTCTGGGACTAGCATTCACAGTATCCATATCACCATTATCAGCTCTGGGACTAGCATTCACAGTATCCATATCACCATTATCAGCTCTGGGACTAGCGTTCACAGTATCCATATCACCATTATCAGCTCTGGGACTAGCGTTCACAGTATCCATATCACCATTATCAGCTCTGGGACTAGCGTTCACAGTATCCATATCACCATTATCAGCTCTGGGACTAGCGTTCACAGTATCCATATCACCATTATCAGCTCTGGGACTAGCGTTCACAGTATCCATATCACCATTATCAGCTCTGGGACTAGCGTTCACAGTATCCATATCATCATTATCAGCACTGGGACTAGCGTTCACAGTATCCATATCATCATTATCAGCACTTGGACTAGAATTCACAGTATCCACATTACTATCAGCATTGACTAGTACTCTGAGCATCCACATATAAACATTGACTAGCAATGGATGGGAACCATCTGGGCACAGACTGCACATCATATTTCATATCTGTTTGTAGTGAACCATTCTTGTTATACTAGTGATTGCTTCTGCCAGCTGATGATATAAATGGGATATGTCATGCTAGGGATTCAGTTTGCTGATTTTAGCTGATGCATGGGAGTGAATGAGACACTATTGCTTTATTAATTTATGCTACATGCATTGTATACATTATGCGTTTGTACAGTGTTCATAGGCTTGAATGAAGGAAGGGTGTGTTAAGTAGGTAGGTGTGTGTGCGCGCGCAACACATCTTAAAGTGTGAAAATTGCAAATATATCTGCTATAGTGTGTGTGTGTGTGTGTGTGTGTGTGTGTGTGTGTGTATCTATCTATCTCTGGGATGGGACATATGCATCCTTTTCTAAAAGTTGGTTATAAATGATGTGCTTAAATTTTAGAATGTTGAATTGATCTGCAAACCTAAATTGTGATCCTTTAGACAATGAGTGGAGATGTTGCATTTTTTTTTTTTAGTGTGTGTGTGTGTGTGTATAAAATATATATTATATTATATTATTGCCCTTTTTATAGGTAGATGGATGTGCCCAGAGTGGTTGTGTGTGGGTTTTTTTTTTTTTTGTTCATATCCTTGCATTGGCAATCTTAAGAACTACTACTTATTCATGGTGCTATATTTTTATAGGATGTGCTTGTGTTTGGAGATAGTTTTTAGCTTTTTGAAGTACACTAGAAGGCATTAACCCCTTAAAATATTTCTGTCCAGTGTCCTTAAGGGGTTAAGGATGGGATGTAAAAGTGAACTGTGTGTGTCAGCTGTATGACCTCTGCTATTAACCCTTTCTAGGTTATGTCCTGTGAGTCATGCATATGCAAGATTTGTTTGTTACAGGATGTGATGCTTATAATCGCTCTTTCACTAAAAATTTACTTGCCCTCATTTTATTGCTTTGTAGGTGGTTTATCTGCTCATTATGTCAACCAAAAATGCATAAATATTTTATAAGTTGCCTTTCTCTAGATCAGAGAATAGGTTTAACTTGCACATGATTATTAACATTGTGTGTGGAATGTTTAGTGGTGACTAATATATGGCACTCCTGCTGTTGTGTTCCTGTGGTGTTCAGTTATCCAAAAAAGAACTAAACCCATTTGCAGGATAAGGATTTTGCAAGCCATGGTCCCCAACAGCTGGAGTGCCAAAGGTTATCTTTTACTGGTATAGGCACAGCATTGTGCTGGGCGCTTTCCTGTTCTGCGGCCTCCTACTGAGCCTTTGATCTTTTCTGAATTGGCCTGCAAGGTGTGTACAAGAATTTTAGAGTAATAACCTTTTTAATATTAACACATTTATTTTACCCCATATTGTACATAGTGCATTGGTGCCATGTGCCTAAGATTATCAGGTTACATGCTTTCATCTATACCCTGACTTCTGTCCTAATGTCTTTCTTCATTGTTCATGTCCATAAAAAAAAAAAGCTTCCCTGAGGTCTGCAGAGTGTAAAGTAAACACACGCCTCATACAAGCCGTTCTTGCTAATAAATATTTCTATTGCTTAGCCTATCTTTGTGGTTGCAGATCACATGATATTCTTACCTGTCCACACACATACCATAGACTTCTAACCTTGGGTGTTTGGCATTGGGTGGTGTATGTCTGAAAGCTTGTGAATTTTTGGTTATTAAGATTGCTACACATTTGTGCAAAGGTGAAAGCAGGAGGTATGCGGTTTACACGTTGTAGACTTGAGTGACGTTTTTTATTTAAAGGAACACTAAAGGCACCCAGACCACTTCATTGCAAATAAGTGTTCTGGTTTCAGTACCATTGCGGTGTTAAACACACCTCTAGCGGCTGTCTTCCTGCCAGCCTCTAGATGCACTTCCGCTGGTTCTCAATTGAATACTGCTCATAGAGAGCATTTGAATGGGGCAGTGTGGCAATTTCATCCAGGAAGGTTGGGCAGCTGTGGCATGACCCGCGTGGCAAGGAAGTAAAGGTAAGTAAAACTTGCCTTTTAAAATAGGCTAAAATTTTAGCATTATAAATACATGTTTGTATTTGTAACTTTAAATCCACATTTAGGGCAGAGTAAGTGGCCTCCAATCTGTTTCTTTTAAAACCGCATTTTAAGACCCGCTCCCCCTTCACTTCAGTTTCTTTAAATAATGTAAGATGTAGTTAGTCACCACACAGTTCATTGTTGAGCATTGAAAACAGAATGGAAAACATTTGAAATATAATGCAACGAAAGACAAATACACTTGATGTAAATCTCCGGTGCACCCTCCAAAATAACTAGTGTATAAAAATCATCAAGCCAATGTATAGTGTGCAATCTCATTCCTGCTATTCCAAAGTAATAACATGACCTTTTTATAGTTAAAAATAAATAAATAAAATACATAGATGTGGGACATATCGAGCAAAGTACTACTACAAAGTAATAGACTGATGAAACTATAATAGAGCCCTCACGTTAATAAGAGCCATCATCAGGCTCTGTAAACCCCAACTTCTGGGTGGTAATCTTTGTAACTGAATATCTATTAAGAATCATAAAACTGGGACGATAGTGCAATTTGCCAAATTTTTCTTAAAAACCAAGTGGTGGGACTGTCTGGTGCTCTGACCAGCTTGTCTTTGTATTCCCATTCATTCATTAGCAATAATCACGCAGGTTTGGAGTTCTGGCAATGTCCTCTGGCCCCTTTACCTTGTCTTGGCTAACAAGCGCTACGTATATACTATAAGCTTCTTCAAGAAGCATAGCAGTATTGCACAAATGCCTGCATATTATATAAGTAAAAGAGTCTTATTGGCTAGTTCAATACTTACAAAATGAACCCTGTCCTATTTCATTACCTTGTATATACAAAGTACCTGCTTTACCTATCAACTATTCTGTACACAAAGCAATGCATATCATTGCTTTCTATTCCATACCCATCACTGATAAATATGGTGAATTAGTAAATCACAGTATAGGGGCAAATGTACATGCAACAAATTTTAAAGCACCGCTTCAATCAAAAATGTTAGTTATTTATTAAAATATATTTTAGGTCTAAAGCGGCCCTGTCTTGCCAAACTACTCTTCCTCTCTCAGAATTTGCTCTTTTCTTCTTATTTATGATCTAGTTTTCTTTAAAAAAAAAAAAGATAAATTAGGGACTACTTTCTTATGTATTTTTCCTGCACTTGACTTTCTTTGACTAAAGGAGGAGATTAAGTCTGCTCCATTCTGACGTCAGCGGAGCGGAATGCGCGGCAGTGCGGTGCGCGCATTTAAAGTGTCCATAGAAAAGCATTTTTCAATGCTTTCCTATGGACGCTCTGCGTGATGGCGGCATTAAATGCCTCCAGCGTCGCAGATGTGCCTCTAGTGGCTGTCCGGATGACAGCCACTAGAGGCTGGCTTAACCCCAAATGTAAACAGGCAGGGTTAACCCCTTAAGCACCAAACGTCTGGAATAAAAGGGAATCATGACATGTCACAGATGTCATGTGTCCTTAAGGGGTTAAACCTAGAGGGACCTGGCACCCAGACCACCTCATTGAGCTGAAGTGGTCTGGGTGACTATAGTGTCCCTTTAACCCCTTAAGGACACATGACATGTCATGATTCACTTTTATTCCAGAAGTTTGGTCCTTAAAGGGTTAAAAATAATAATTTTAACTGAATTAAAAAAAAAAAAAAAAAACTATTACCCCCTCCCGACTCCACTACATCTAATTGACCCCCCTATGCCCCCCATATTACCTATTTTTAAATCTTTTATTTTGTGTTCGGACTTAGGTCCTACGCGCCGCCATCTTTGTGTGAGTAGATGAAGTCCCTGTGGGACAGTCATCTGCCCACACTAGATTGCGCTGTGAAATTCCCGCACATGCCCAGTTAAACACTTGGGCATGCGAACAGGAATTTCATCTATTCATTCGTCAGAAAGACGAATAAATGAATAGAAATTTCAAATGAATGAACGAAGACCTCTTCATTCGTTTGTTTGGTTTATTACAAGGAGGGAGCTACAGGCCCAGCAGCTCCCTACTTGTAATATGTAAAAATAGAAGCGGCAGGGAGCTGTGCTCCCCGCCACTTCCTAAGCCCCCCATGTCCTCCCTCACTCTGTGGGAGTCAATATTAGGGGTTTTTTTTTTTTTTTTTGAGCTGAAACGATAATCTGTGAACTTTCAGGCCGATAGCCGATAACAACGATATTCTGTACGTTTACCATTTTGAAAAAATAAACTATTTCTAAAGGTAAATGCACAAATATACATGCCACATGTAGTGGATGCAGTGTGTTTAGACAGGGGAGGTGTGTGTGAATGCCCCTACTCGCTATGCCGTGAGTAGGGGCATGTCTACTAAACAGTGAGCAGCCCATGGCTGCTCACTGATGTAAAAAAGAGAAAAGCCCCCTCCCCGTAACAAATGCCCCAATGGTGGGGCATCTATTAACTAGCGAGGGAACATGGTCGTCTCCCCAAACCCTTGCCCCTTGCCCCTGCGAGTGGGGGGCTATAAAAGTAAACGGGGGACATAGGGCTCCCCTTGGCGGCAAGTGGGGACCCTAAATGAAAATGGGGAGGGGGGACGGGGAACCTGACAGGTGGGGGCTAAGTGTAAATAACACACACACACTCCCACTCCCTCTCCCCCTGTTTTCAGTTTTGCTGCACTTGCTTTAAATTTTTTATTTTTTTATTTTTTTTTATATTAAGGTATTTTTGTTGGTCGAGAAGAGTGGGGTTGTACAGTATAACTTGCTGATTTGTGATTTGCAAATCGGTGGTTTTGAGAGAGAATTTATACATTTGGCTGTAGTCCTAGCTTGCATATTTTAGCCTTTTTGCATTAGGGGAAAGCGGCCTCTTTAAGATTTAAGCATTGTCCTTTTTACTGGATGTAATGGCTAGCAATGATCACATTAATGCAACCATGCAGGCTATATTGGCAAGAGACAATTGCTCACACATGGATGTCTGTATGCTAACCATACAATCGTCCACGCTTTGTGTCACATTGCCCTAAATTTTGTGACACAGCACAAGGCTGTTGTTAAAGTAGATTGTTTTCAAATATATTTATTTTATTAGAGAGATTTTTATAATAACAAAAATAACTTTTACAATGAAAGAAAATACTATAAGTTATACATAAAGAGTTAATATCAGTGTATCCAGTCCATATGTAAATCAATGATGAAAGTATTGAACGTTTAATTTATAGTCCATTTTTATTGTTAAAGTAGATTCTGTTTTGATCCTTTACATTTAATAAAATATTAAGGAATCTACATCTTGTTTACATCATGTGTACATACAAATCTAATTGTAACTGTGTTTTTTGTTTTGTTTTTGTTTTTTGTTTTGTTCTGGTTGTCTTTATGTGATTTAGCATGATAAATACAATAGGCTTTATTCAATAAACCAAATAGCTAAACTCTGACTACAAAAGGATTAGTTCCAAATCAGTTCTTTTGGCCCAATTTATGCAGTCCTGTTAGATACCCCAATGACTGTTATTCACTGAATTGAGTTGTAAGAGATTCTTCAGAACAAAATGCAAACTTCGGGCAGGAATAGCGGTGCTTAAAATATTCATGTAAGTTGGCTATTTTCTATTTTTAGCTATCTTAGCCTTAAATATACAATCTCTGCAAGTCACAGTTTAGTGACTAAATGTCAGTGTATTTAATATTGTGTCTTTATCTTTCATTGCCTTTGAAATTAGGTTTTATTAATTGTGCAATGGTTTTCTGTTCCACCTACAGTCCTGTTAATATAACACATTTTAACTAAAAATCGCTTTAGACAAATGCTCCTTTTGAATATGTGAATGCTGCACAGGAATACTTCTTAGTTTTTTGTTGTGTTATTGAGTCTTGCTTCTCTCTGTATTATCCAAGTAGACTGTAAATTTCATACATTCACACACAGATGCATATAAATACACTGACACATAGACTCATACACAATGACACATGCGCACACAGATTGATACACTTTGATTGTGTGTGTGTATCTGTGTCACACATACATATTATAATTATTATATTGACAGCCACCCTCCTGTTGGTTACCTTTTGTGTCCAGGAGGGTGGCTTGTGTGGGGTCCTGGTTGAGGCTGATGGGAGTGAGCATACAGTAGCTCACGCCAACCTCACCACTGCCTTATGCGCTGCGCTCTGTTAGGTGGGAGGAAGTTACAGGCTGACACTGCTGGAAGCCATCTTGGGGGAGTGGACAACGTAGGAGTTAGACCGTTCGAGAATGGCTTTACCTTGAGGTAAGAGTGCCTCCAGGAGCCACCTGACACCATAACTTCATTTAGATGAAGTTGTTTTGCTGCCTGGAGTGTCCCTTTAAGTAATTTTTGTATGTTGTATAAAATGAAGTACTTGTCGATCTCAGCCAATCTATTGCTTTGTCTATGGGAAAGCATTGGATTGGCTAAAATCATCCATTCTGATGTCAACCAAGTAGGTGGATTGGGGACGGGGTCATGGCCAGCGTACCTGCGCAGCGTTTGGAAAAGATATGTTTTCTTACCTGTTATTGGGGGGGAGGGGGGAGCAAAGTGGGGCAAGCAACCTAAATGGTAACACTATAGTGTTTCTTATAATTTTGTAATTTTCACAAAATATTCTTTTTAATATTTTTGTCCCACAATTATCCTTACATGCTGTTCCTCACGTCCCTATTGAGTACTTGATGAAGTTTCTAGGTATTTTGTTGACCTTGTATAGAGCCAAGCACCAGTATCTGTGTGGCATTGTCTCAAAGGATTTCTTTTAGTCAATCCAGGCTGTGTAGAGTGGTCTATAAAGTCAAGCGGAAGCACCCTTTTCTGTAAGTTTTGTGAGACTCTTTCCTCATTAGTAATCAACATTATGTTTGCTTATCAATCAGTTGATATAGATTCTCTCTGTATAAATGTAGAGTGATGCAGAAAATGATGGCCTGCTGTAAATGATAACCTTCTTGTGTTAGGGCTACATGCTAACAGAGTCTAAAGGCATGTAGAAGATGGTCATGTTGCTCGCATGCTTTTTGTGTGAAATCTGTGACCTGTTTCAGTGGGTGAAATTTTAATATCCACACAGTTATAAAGGGGACCTGTAATCTTTCATTTGATGGTTGTTCCTCTTTCTGTCTCACTAAATTCTATTTATGCACTTACAGGTGCATTTTAGTTAAAAGGACACTAGGCACTCACACCACTTCAGCTCATTGAAGTGGTATGGATACAGTGTCCCTATTGCACTTAGTGCTGCAAAGTAAAACATTGCAGTTCCAGAAACACTTCAATGTTTACATTGAAGCACCAGGTCTGTCTTCCAGACAGCCACTAGAGGCGCTTTCTGACGCCAGACATACTCGCTCTGCATGAGGGCATCCTACGTCAGCTTTTTTCCGCTAGAAAAGCATTGATTCAACTCTTTCCTATGGGGAGGCCTAACATGTGCGCGGCACTCGCTGCGCATGTACATTAGCGCCCACCAACGGGGGGGGCAGAGGGAGCTTAAGTGTCACGAATATAGCTTTGTATTCCTGGCACTATAATATCCCTTTAACTTTTGGATTGCAAAATGAGATTACCCTTCCTAAGCATCAGTGCAGGTAGATGGGAGATGGGTGTGCTTGCTGTATAATTTAAAGTACCACGATTGTCACCCTGGCCACTTCATCTCAATGAAGTGGCCTGGGTACCGTGGTCCTGTCAATTTTAACAAAGGTTGGGGGGGGGGAGGGGGAGCCAATTACCTTGAGGTGTTACACACCTCCAGCATCTGCTGCAAGGACTGCATAAAACCTTCATTTTATTTTTGTAGCACACACAGAGGGGACTCTATATAACCAAGTACTGGGACGCTAAAGTGTGGGGAATATAGGTTTGTGTTCCTAATGCTCTAGTGTTTCTTTAACCACTGTTTATGTTAGCCAGTCTGCTAAAATAAAAATTTTATATAGCTCCAACATATTTTGCAGCACTGTACAGTTGGAAGCAAGACAGACATTTAATAACAAAACATGTTTGACATACAGAAATAAAGGTGAAGAGGCAAAACTGTATAGGTTACCTGCTAAATTGTAGTAGGGCCAAAGGGAGAATTCAGCTCATTAAAGGTATGTTGTATTATTCTTGCAAACAATGCTGTAGAGCAGTTTGTAAAATGAGGTTTGTGTTCATACAGTGAATTTTATTGAAATATCACTTTATAGCTTATACTGATTAGAAACATTAGAAAAGCTGGTAAATTATTGTTGACCATGATAAAATATATACCTGATTCTTCATATTGAACAATTATTTTTCAATTTACTGTCACTGACATAATGTGGTTTTCACACATAATTTTTTTTTTCCCACTGGATGCTTTCATTCCATTTCTAATATTGGATTTTCACATGTATCCTCCAATTTGCTGTGCACATGGTTTTTAATACTGTATTCAAAGCATTCACACTTCCTTTTTACTGTTGGGTAATATCCGAGTAAGGCCACATTGACCTTTCAAATCCCATTTTTGGATTCAATGCCAGATTTTTTTTCTTTGATTGTATGATGTTATCACATGGGTAGCTGTAAGGCAGAGGCTAATGCTTTATGCTGATCACAGGCACAGTCTTCTTTATTTTAAAGAGGCAGCTCTGCTCTCACTAGCAGCACAGTTCTGACCTTAACTCTGTTAAAGGAACAGTCTAACAATAAAAATATTTATAAGTTGCAAATTGATGAAAGTCCATGGCATGAGAGTATACTTGCTGATCCAGAGTATCTTCAATTCTTTTTACTGAGTTGGGTGTGCTTTTAATTGACATATGTGCCCTGTTTTTGGGCATTATTATATAATTTGGCATTGTTATAAGCGACCTATAAAATTTAAATACTTTATCATCACAGATCCGTTAATACTTCTCATCCCCTTTTTGTTTTTTAAAGCTCCTTTTCATTTTCAGCACTGCTTCCTTTCTCAGACTACCTCTCTTTTCTGGTAGAACCAACCTTTTTCTCCTTTCAGTCCCTCTTTTTCCTTCTCATTCCATTCCTCTTTTGTTAAGCCCTCCTTCACTTTACAGATTACCTTCTTCTGTATATGATGGGAAGATGAGCATTGCTGCAAGGTTCTGACACTTATTGCATTTCAGCTATCTCCTTCCTCTGTGCATCAAGGAGGAAGATATATCCAGAATGTCACAGGGTAATGACGCCTGTCTCTCAAACCCTTGCACATGCAGCATGGGAAGGAGAATAGGAATTCTCCTACTCTCTAATAAACTATATAACAAAAATAAATTCATATAATACACTTGGTTTTCAAACAGGGGTGTTTGGGACTTTGTGGGATGCACTTGCACTGGTACTCTTCCCCCCCCCAGACCCGTGCCTCTTGCATCATTGGATCCAGTATTTAGCCATATATAAACAAGTCTCTTTTTGCCATTGGTCAGAGATGGGTGCTTGTTGGACATCACATGCACATAACTGAAGCTAGAATGAACATGTTGGCCAGTGGAATGTCAGCCATGGAAAATGCTTGTATTCTGACACAATCTGGTTTTAATACTGTACTGTGCACTATGATCAAAACCAGGATGGGAATTCTCCCTGTAAGTGCAAACAATCCCACTGCTCTGATTTCCATAGGGGTAAGCAGCACTTACTGCATGGTGAAAAGATCAAAGTGTACTAATGGTGAGATAATTACACCCTTCTAGTATCATTGTGCACTAATGGAAGGGACAGATTTGCATCTGTCTCCCTGAAACAGAATTAATGTTTATTAATGGTCCCTTACAATTATGGTTGCTTTACGGTACTATATCAAGTAATTTTTCATATGCTGCGATAAATAATAAAAATAAAAAAAGAAAATGTATATTCAAATTTGACTTTTAAGGCTACTGGAGTGCTTGTCTTAGTGGCCGATTTCTGTTTTCTAAGTTTGGTAGCCTTCAATCAACCCCAAGCTCTAACTAAAAGTTAGCCCAATTGGTCTAATTTTGTTTTTTCTTTTTCATTAGTCACCTGGCTGTCCTGGCACAGTCTAAACATACCATGCAAAATAATTGAATTTGCACAGTGTGTATGAATTGGTAGAAATAAAAATTATTTTTTTTTTTTCTCCAAATATGGAAGTTGCCCATTTATACTTTTCCTTCATTGCATTACTTGGTCTGGTAAAAGCTTAACTCCTTAAGGACACATGACATGTGTGGCATGTCATGATTCCATTTTATTCCAGAAGTGTGGTCCTTAAGGGGTTAAAGGGACACTATAGTCACCAGAACAACTACAGCTTAATGTAGTTGTTCTGGTGAGTATAATCATTATATGCAGGCATTTTCATGCAAACACTGCCTTGATCAGAGAAAAGGCAGTGTTTACATTGCCCCTAGGGACTCCTCAGATGGCCACTGGAGGTACTTCCTGGGGCAGTGCTGCACAGTAGGCAGCTCTGCCGTTCACTGTCCCCACGCTGTACATGGGGATGCTGAATTTGCCTCATAGAGATGAGGAGGTGCTGATTGGTCAAAACGGCGTTTGGCCTTGCCCCTTGCTGATTTTAGCCAATCCAATGGATTAATCAATCCAATTGGCTAAAAAGCGTTAATTCTGATTGTCACCAAGGTGGCAGGGCCAGTGCCGGCAGACCTGCACAGCACTGGAAATAAAGTGAGTTTTTCATGATTTTAAGAGGGTTAAGGAGGTGGCAAGCCACCTTAATGGTGGGTTTTGCTTCTGGGCTGAGAAAATAGGGAACCAAGACATTAGAGAATAATGAATAAGGTAAGTGACAATTTCTACTTTAATTTCCCATAATTCGCTATACATTTTTATTTAAATAAAATACTTATCCAATGAACAACATTTATAGTTCATATGAATTTAACGGATATTTGTAATTTATGACCATGCAAGTTAATACTGTAGAGCAGGAGAGGACGGGGGGGTGTTGTATATAGATAGATTATGCAAATAGATGGCTTCACTCACGGTCTTTCGATTTAAAAATGAGCTTTTATTCCAAAATAGTTCAAAACGGGATCACACATTTTCTGTGGGTAAAGCAAGTCTTATGGCTTGACTGGTGTGCAGATTTTTGTGTAACATTGTATTAAAGGGACACTATAGTCACCAGAACAACTACAGCTTATTGAATTTGTTCTGGTGAGTAGAAACGTTTACATTTACATTACAGACTAGTGATAATTTCACTGACCACTCCTTATATGGCTGTTAGAGATCTTTCCTGAGTCATGGTTGCCTAAAATGCATCCAAACATTCAGTATCTCCTCCCTCTGCATGCAGACACTGAACTTTCCTCATAGAGATTCATTGATTCAATTCATGAGGAGATGCTGATTGGCCAGGGCTGTTGATGTCAGTGGGCAGGTCTAAAGGAAATATGGACAAACTATGCAGCTGCAGGCTTGCATTGAAGTAAGATTTTACTTTATTTTTAGAGGCATGAGGGGCCCAGGGGGGCTAGATGGTGGTTTTAACCCTATAGGGTCAGGAAGACATGTTTGTGTTCCTGACCCTATAGTGCTACTTTAACTATCCAGACTTCAGGTGGAAAGGGTTTTTCAATCACAAATCAAATGTCAGCAGGACGTGCTGTAAGTATCCTTCTCAGGCTTACCACGGATGCGTTCTGACTTGCAGAAATAGGCAGCCACCAAGCATTCACCCCACAACTTGTTTTTACTGTTGCTAAAATAGTTTCAGGAAATAGTCTTGAAGCATGGGCAGTAAAGGTATTTAGGAATGTTCCCTGGGGCTAATGTGAATGTGACAGGTAAATTACTGGCTAGGCAAGGCTTTAAATAGGTAACAAATGGGAAGTGTGGGTGGGTCTGTAGCTGCATGCCCTGCCTACCTGCAAAGGGCGTTTGCCACCTTTGCTTTATTTCCTCAAAGCTTGCAAGCTGGTCTTTACATTTTTTAGTTGATCAAGCAGGGGTGTCCTCTATTTGAAAGAACAGAAATCAGCGAGTAATCCTTTTTCTAAAACTGCCTGCATCCATACTGAGGTCTTGCTGCACCTTATTCCAATGACAGACTCGCCAAGCAATTCTCCTGGAGGGCCTGTGCCGGGTAAATGGATCTGTCACTCACTGTCTTTTTTGTGTAGTGTTCTATGTGTAGTAGAGAATGTATTTGCTCCTTCTAATTCAACACCTGCTATGTAATGGAAACTTTATTCTTTTTCACATGTTTACTACATTGTGAGCAGTATTTATGATCTTAAGCACAGGGGTTGTTACCTCAACATTCAAAATGTTAACTAGCTAAATTATTGTCCTAGTTGTATTTTATTGTAAAATCACTTTTTTGTTGTTTGTAACGTATCCCTTATAGTATGGCTATCTTAGGCCTGACAAAGGCTACATGTTGTGAAACGATAAATACAAATATGTATATAATTTATTTTTTTACAGCATATAATGGTTGTCTTTTCTTCAAATGAAGTGTGAATTTCATACAGCATCTACCCTTGACTCAAGTGGAATTAGTGTGTGGCTCTTGCCTGTAAATCTTGAGGTTTTTCTTGGCCCTGCAACGTAAATGGAAACTTGTGTTTGTCAGTTGTTGTAATGCATGTATTGATTCCACTCTATTTTTTTTTTTTTTCACTTCACTCTGTCTAAATGTTTAAAAAAATATGCCTTTTTAGCATTGTATTAAACTCCTGCCTCATCAGCGGGTGTGGGGATTTTGTTGGTGGCAACTGCAGCACAAGCAGTTGCATTTGATGTCAAGTGAATGCACATAAGATTGTTAAATGTGTTTTGTGTATTCCCAGAATGCACTGCTAATACAGCATGCACTTGAGCACAGTGCCTCTTTATGTATAGGCTTGACCTCTAAGGTTTCGGTGCACTGCCAATTAATTAATGCAGTCAATTCACTTAAAAATGTTCTCTCTGGTTGCATGATCTGTATTGATTCATGTAACTGATGTTCAGAGTACTTCTAGTATAAACAACCTATGTAGATTGAAGCACTCATTTTTTTAACCACCTTAGCATGTTTCCATGTTTGCATAGTCAGCTGTTTGTGTGAGTTGAGGCCATCAATTAGAGCATGGTCATTGCTTGATCTTCCTACCGTTACCAGTTCATTATGGAACATGTAATTATTATTATTATTTTATTTATATAGCGCCAGCAAAATTCCGTAGCATTGTACAATGGGCTAATAAAGCACCAGTGTAAAAAAAAATAAAAAAAAAAATGATGTAGGCACGGACTAAATAAAGATGTGCTTCAATGAACTTTTTGGTGTTATGACCTTTTTTAATAAGGGACACTTAAAGACTTCCTGGAAAGAGTCATCTAATGTTTACACTTTTTTGCTAACTTGTTTAATTTGGAATTTCTTATCTCCTGCTTTAATAGTCTTTTAGACACTGCAGGAACTTCCTGTATGTATATAAAGTTCAATTTACAGAGCAGGTGATATAAACCGAATTAAACTATTTTGTCAGTCACGGCCAGGGGAGGAGTGGCTATGTCTGCATAAACAGAAACAAAGGTGATTTAACTCCTAAATGGCAGTATTGAGCACGGCGTCTTTAGAAGCATGATCTATACAACAAAACTGCTTAAATAAACTAAAGGCGACCATACTGATCCTATAAATATATTTGTGGTTGGAAACGTTTTATTTTTTTGGGGCACCAAAAGTGATCAGTAGTTCCCTGCTTTTCCTTTTTTCTTTGGCATATTAGTGTATATACAGTGGAGATACTGACATAGATAACAACACTACATACATACATATTCAGGTCAAAATTGTAGCCACCCTCCTGTTTCGTACCTTTTGAGTACTGAAGGGTGGCTTCTGCTGGCTGGGGCTGTTGGGAGTCAGGTATAGGTATTGCACTGCTGGTTCACCCCCTCCTCTCTGCTTCTTTCTCTCGCTCCTGCATGGGAGGAATTAACAAGGTCTCACTGAATTTTCTTTTAATTTTTTTTTTTTTTTTTGTGCGTTTCCATGGGGTTACTGTTTTGTACCGCCAGAGGTACGTGTATTACAGGTAGGAAACCACTAGTCTAGATGATGGTTTCTAAACATTTTGTTATGTAGTACCAATAACTTATAATTTTGAGTAGCAAGACTTCCTCTAATAATTTCCACTTCTACAAACACAATTTGAAAAACGTGTTGCCTACATGTAGTTGTTGTTCTAGCCAAGATTCCATGAATGTACAATGCCACAATTTGGTAGGATAGTTTCATAGACATGCCAGAGTCTGATGCAGCAGATATTTTATAGAGCATGTGCACTGCCAATTTAACATGCAACTGATCTGGAGCAGAGAGACTTTTTTTTTTTTTTTGCGGTGGGGGGAGGATCTGTGTGATCTGACTCCTGAAAACCCCCATTACTCACTTCCCATTATAGCGTCCCTTCCTCTGTGCTGTTCCAGGAGGAAACTGTTCACTACAGATAAACAGTATAGTTTAACATGTATCTTTAACTCCAGTTTTTACCATTCTACACTATATTTACAGTTTCCATTTAATGGTTGTACATAGATTGTATAAGATATAAGGTGAAATATGCAAAAAAATCTGCAAGCCAATTGATTTAATTTGAACTATTCCATATGTAATGCTGATCTTTTCTACAGCCAATGTATTTAATTAAAAGCATACAACAGTTACACAATTCCTACCCAGCAGAGGTCACATGATGAATAATTCCCATGATCTTCTACCAAACAATGGATTTGTAGGTCCTAAATAAATCTCCTCATTTAGCAATAGAAGTATGGAGCACTCATGTTTTTCTCAGATGATGTCAATGACAATCATGGGCAAACAGAAGTGGGAACATTTCTGTTCTAGTAACAAACGCCCAGAACTTAAAACTTATTCCAGACTACATTTGATCCCATCCCTTAAAATGGAATGCTGTTTCAGCAAGGATCAGAAAGTGTCTGAAAACGGGCAGTTAAGAGTGGCTGCATAATTTTCTACTTTGCTAAATAAGTAAATTGCAATCTCACCCATGTTGAAATTTCTTATATAATTTTTTTTATTTATTTTTAAATCGCGGTAGGATTTAAAGCTTTGTCGCCAAGGAAGTGTCACTTTTATAGTGGAAATACACTTTTTTAATTAGAAGAATATTTGTGAAACAAGGGCATTGCATTGGTAGCTTTATTTTAGAATTATTAAATTTCTTGTGACCTAAATGTATTTCAGACTTTATTGTAAATCTAATTAAAGCGGTACTGTATCTTCTCTGGTATTTACACCATTGAAAATCACCTGTTGTCTCCATAGACCTTATAGTCCAATTGACCTATAAAGTCTATGGAGAGAATAACAAAAAAGTTTGTTTTACAGATATTAGTCTCCACACCCCCTACAAACACTGGAAAATAAGTTTTTCACCTGAAATTCATTGCTAGGTGAAGCCCCTGGTGCTGCACAGTCGCAGCAAAGTCCATTGAAAAGCTTCTTATTGAGAAGCCTTTGATGGGACCATTTTAGACGACTCCATATGCATGCACGAGCTCTCAGCCAGCACATGGAAGGAGGGTTGGACCTTTAACAAAAATGATAATAAAAAAAATTAAAAAAATCATTCTCACAGTGTGATGGGAGGCAGGAGCACTGCAATAGAACAGTGTGAAGGTAGACACGTCTGTTGCAAGCGCTCAGTGCGTGCTGACGACAGATGGTTTTTTGTTAGTTATTTTTATTTTTTTGCACCGAATTTACATTTGACAGCCCAGAACAGAGTTGGCACGCAAGTTTAAAAATTAACTCTGGATTTGTAGTGTTTCAAGCTGAAGCACATGCAGATTCCTTCCTCCATGACCAAGTACAAGTGGTAAAATCACTTAACATGTCTTAAATGAATACATTTTTGTGTTTCTATTCCCTCCCCCCCCTCCCCCCCCCTTTTATTTTGTTTATCGATGTAGGAACAATTTTTTGAGGAGTGTTGTTCTTTACCTTGCTGCCAAAACATGACTTTGTACATGAAATCAGATGCAGTGGTCTTTGGAGATCTCCCTATGGTAATAAGGTTAGATTAAGCCTCACAGCCATGCTTTTGGACACATGCCAGCTCATATTGGCTGCAGCCCAATAGCTGATGCTTCCTTAATTTAAAAAAAAAAAAAAATGTTTTTATTGTTTTTAGATTTACTTTGAAGAAGTGATGTCATCTCTGCTGTATGTAGCTGAAGGAATTTAGAAGCTGCTTTAATGCTGCAGTTGTCCCCTTATTCATTCTGTGGCCTCTCTCTCCATTTTTAACTGAAGGAATACTGAGATTCACCGTGGAATCACTAATTTGTCACATTTGTATGAAACAGGGAATCACACAATAATTCAGGTTTATTTTAATTTTTGTGTGTACAATATAGTAAATAGATTTGGGGTTTTCATGAACTGTAAGCCATAATCATCGCACTTATGACAAATCACGTCTTGAAATATCTTGCTTTGCATGTAATGCGTCTCATATATTAGTTTCCCCTTTTACATTGCATTACTGAAATAAATTAACTTTTTCACAATATTCTAATTTTTTGAGTATTGTATGTATGTATATATAGGGATGTGTGTGTGTGTGTGTGTGTGTGTGTGTGTGTGTGTGTGTGTGTGTGTGTGTGTATATATATATATATGTATATGTGTGTGTGTGTGTGTATATATGTGTATATACACACACACACACACACACACACACACACACACACACACACACACACACACACACACACACACACACACACACACACACACACACACACACACACACACACACTGTGTGTGTGTGTGTGTATATTTAGACATAGCCGAAATGACCGCACTCCAAGGACTTTATAGAGATTTTCAAATAAAATGTAACTTATTCAATCCATTTAAAAAGTCAACGTTTCAGCTCCCACATGGAGCTTTCATCATGTTTTGTCCTGATGAAAGCTCCATGTGGGAGCTGAAACGTTGACTTTTTAAATGGATTGAATAAGTTACATTTTATTTGAAAATCTCTATAAAGTCCTTGGAGTGCGGTCATTTCTGCTATGTCTACATGATCCTTGCCAGACCTGCACCGGGCACCACAGGATTACACCAGGAGTGAATGAGAGAGAGATAATATGAAACTGTCTGCCTTGCTTCAACTCATTCTGTATGCAATTTGGCAACAATTATAGCAACAGAGAAAATGTTGGTGATGTCACTGTGCTCAGCCTTTATACATACTCAAGCACAGCGGCTCCATCTTTGAGTTTGCTTGTCTTCTGTCAAGTGATGCTTGGTCTCTTCAGTTTTGAAATAACTTTATTGAATAAGCAACATGGGCAAAATTATGTAAGCCCAATTTCTGTGGTATGTATTTGGATACCAATATAAAAGGAAGAGAGAATAAGTGAAAAAGGGACTTTAACAACATTGTATGCATGATAACCATGGTTCCATACCGTTATTAGTCAGTTTTCTGACAAAATATAATTTTTGGGACAAATTTGACAGTCAGCTGGCACTCCGCTAATGAACACAGATGGAATTGACGTCAACAAGTAGGAACCTCTGCATTAGTGCCATCCCAAAAGGAGGCTGGACTGTGGAGGATCCTGTGAAGCATAAAAAAAAAAAATGACTTATTGTGGGATAGTACCTGAACTCCTGGCAACATAACCACTAAGATGTGTTATTGCGCCTTAAATGTTCCATTTCATGCAGTGTCTAACTACCATAGTTGTAATTTTTCAAATTTTCTGTCATCATGGTAGCATTTTAAATTGTCTGCAGCAGTTTTGTTAAATCCTGCATATTTGTCTTTCTTATTTCTTTGTAGAAACTATGAGGCGTGTTGTGCGACAGAGCAAATTCCGGCATGTCTTCGGACAAGCGCTGAAGAACGATCAATGCTATGATGACATTCGGGTTTCCCGTGTCACCTGGGACAGCTCATTCTGTGCTGTGAATACCAAGTTTGTTGCCATAATCATTGAGGCAAGCGGTGGGGGTGCCTACCTTGTTCTTCCCCTGCAGAAGGTAATTTATTTTATGTTTCTGAAAAAAAAAACTACTGAGAAGGGATTTTTTTCAATATAAAGGTTGTTAACCCCTTAAGGACACATGACGTGTGTGACATGTCATGATTCTCTTTTATTCCAGAAGTTTGGTCCTTAAGGGGTTAATGGAGCTAGTGAAGAAAATGTGCCTGTGAATAAATTACATGTTGATATAGATCAGTGATGGCGAACCTATGGCACGCGTGCCACAGGTGGCACGCCAGGCCCTCTCTGTGGGCACACGGCCATAGCTCGCCATCAAGGCAGAGTAGGCACCTGCCTGGCCAAAAGGGCAAGCGCCTACTTTGCTTCCGTGTCGGGAGGACAGGGGGAGCGATCTGAGAAGCAGCTCTCCCTTGCTCCCGAGAGCAATCAGTGTGGAGCGTTGCCGTGCGTTACCATGGCAACACTCTACACAGCATCGTGCGGGCGGGAGGAGGGCAGAGCTGCAGGACCTGTCCCTCTTACCACCACCGGACCACAAGGGATTTATGTGTCCCCCTCCCCCCCCCCTTTCCCATAAGGTAAGCAGAAGGGGGGGGGGAAATCAGATGGTAATATATTTGCAGCCCTCCCCACCAACACACACAGCAGCCTTCTCATACATAGCACCCAAAACCTCCCCCCCACACACACACGTAGAGCACCCCTTTCACGCAGAGCACCCAGCACCTCCCCCCCCTCACACACAGCACCCGCACCCTTCCCCACACAGCACCCCTCTCACAGCACTCTCGCAAACACACAGCACCCCTCATACACAGCACTCCGCACCCGTACACACAAACACATACACTGCCCCCCTCAATGCAGCATGTGTGTGTTTGTGTGTATGTATTCAGCCGTTTGTGTGTACTCCGCAGTCTGTCTGTACTCAGCATTCTGTGCATGTGTGAGTGTGTATTCAGCAGTCTGTTTGTATGTGTATTCAGCAGTCTTTATGTATTGAGCAGTCTGTGTGTATGTTTGTGAGTGCATGTATGCAGCGGACTGTGTGCATGTATTCAGCGGACTATGTGTGTGTTGGTGTGTATGTATTCAGCAGTCTGTGTGTATGTATTTTATGTATGTATTGCATTTGTTGGCGATACTAAAATATAAGCCTAATTTTATCTATAATTTTAATTTGTATTCCTGTGCGTTGTGTGTAGGCAGGGCCCCAGTGCACTGCTTTGCCCAGGGGCCCATAATGTTGTTAAGGTGGCACTGGTGGGTGGGATGGAGGGCTGCGAGGGAGCACTGACTTACGTGTGGTTACAGCACTGCTCCCTCCATTGATGCCGCCGGGAGACATGAAATGGCGTCAATCAGGCGCCGCCACCTGATTGACACAATTTCCTGTTTTGCTGGCAGCATCAGCATAGGGAGCAGTGCTGGAACAGCACGTAAGTCAGTGCTTCCTCGCGCCCACACCCCCTTACAGCAGCGTGAAGGAGGTAGGGAGCCAGGGAGTACTTCAAACTCCCACCCGCACCAAAAAAAAAATATTATTTGTGTGCTGGTAGGGAGAGGGGATATAATGGGGGAGAGGGGATATGCTGGGGTAGTGAGGGGAAAATGCTGCGGGGAGAGGAAGAGGAGATGCTGCTGGAAGAGGAGAATTAGTTTGGACAACTGTAAGAGTTTTTTTCTAAATGTAAACCTTAGTATTCGGGTTTAATTGCTGTGTTGGCACTTTGAGGAGAAAAAAGTTGGCATGTATTGCGGTTTGGACACTCGGGCTCAAAAAGGTTCGCCATCACTGTTCTAGATGATGTTTATATTTTGTATGTATACCATTATGAAGAGGAATCTTTTAAAGTCAGTCTTATGCATATCAATCTTATTCCACAGTGTAACCTCATTTACATGTTAGGGGAAGTTAAAGGAACACTCCACACACCTAATACACGTCTGTTTTCTGAAGTGTTTTGTGTGTCTGGAGTTTGCTATATTTTTTTGAAAGTTTAGAAAATGGCAGATTTCAATAGAAATCAGCCATAACTCTTCTAATTCACTCAGACAGGGAGGTTTTATTCCACTTCTTTTTGCTCCAAGGAGCCAACAGAAGTGTCAAGCATGCTGGGCTGTTCTACAACTCATTGAAAAGCTGTGTGTGCAGAATGGGAAACCTCTGGGGTTTAGGAAGTCTGTGCGAAAAGAGTAAGGACTTGCAAAGGCTGCAGATAGGTTGTGGCTTTTTTTTTTTTTCTTCATATACTCCCACAGACAATGTGCAGAAAAAAATATATACTTGCTTTAACCCCTTAAGGACACATGACATGTCTGACATGTCATGATTCCATTTTATTCCAGAAGCTTGTTACTTAAGGGGTTAATATACTAAGTGGTTTAAATAAATAAATCCATGGATTGTTCCTTTAAAGGGACTGTATAGTCACCACAACCACTGCAGTTTAATGTAGTGGTTCTGGTATCTATAGTACAGTAGTTCCCAACCCAGTCCTCAAGTACCCCCTACCAGTCTAGGATTTAGGGATTACCCTGTTGTGTCTAAAGTGTTTATTTTGTATATTTTATTTTTTACATTTTTTTTTATTTTTCTGTCTAAAACACCTTAGACACAACTAGGTAAATCCCTAAATCCTGCACTGTTAGGGGATACTTGAGGACTGGGTTGGGAACTGCCGCTATACCATGTCCCTGGAGCCTTAACTCTGTGAACACTGCCTTTTCAGAGAAAATGCATTGTTTGCATTGCTGGCTAGTTACACCTCCAGCTGCAGTCACTAATACGGTCACTAGAGGTGCTTCCTATGATGCGCAGCACAGGCTTTCAGCATCTCCACGCTCCCCATAGTGATGCATTAATTCAGTGCATCTCTGAGGAGATGCTGACTGGCGCAGTATTTTGCTGCACATGCGCCAACACCTTCAAAATGAATAATCTCAACCATGTAGGAGGGGCCAACAGCGACGAGACCCGCGTGATATGGGGAAAAAAGTGAGTAAAATCACCTTTTAATATCCAGAAAGAGAAGGGCAAGGGACCTAATGCTGCATTCCAGCACAGTAGTATAAGGAATACATGTTTGTATTCTTGACACTATAGTGTTTCTTTAATGCTTAAAGGGCTTACCCATTTATTTATTTTTATCTATGTATTTTTTGCTTCCTGTTATTGTAATTATTTTATTTTTATTTATGCCAATTCTCTGAAAATGTTTTTGCAATTAATTTACACATGCAAATGCTTCATTATTGGAGACACTAAATGTTTGTCTTTTTAAATTAGACTGGATATTGATTCAGTGGTTTCCAGCACAGTTCTGTTTATAAATGGCTATACATATACATTAGTTTTGCATGCGCTAACAGTGGTAAACAAATTTTACTGGAGATCCTTTGTTACAGGTTATGTAAAAGCTTTTTTTAAATGAAATGGAAAATCTTTTGAATTTAACAGTGTGACATTATTGATATTTATATTGGGGATCCGTATTATATCTGCATCCATCATAAATTTCAGATTTATTTGAAAAACCTTTAGCAAGAAAGCCATTCCAGTTACTATCATTTTTCTAAACCACTTCTACTGCACACTACTCCTCCCATTCTTTACTTCTTGTTCCAACAGCATCTTTATTTCTCTTTGATACACTTTTTTTTTTTTTTTTAACATGCATTCCTTTTATGTTGCATATGTGACTTTTCCAACAAGATGTGCTCAGCTGCCAAACACATAGGCACTCTTTCCCCTCCAGCTTGCCACTCCTTCCACATCCTACATTTATAAGCAAATGGACCATATGTGGTAATGTGTTTGCTTTCAGAGTTCGTTTCTAGAATCCATTTTGTAAAAGTGTGAAGCTCAAATGGCTTATGAGTTTTACACTTCAGGAAGAGTAATAGTTGTAATCTAAAAATGAGTTGTCAGTGGAGAGTGTGCAGTTTAGTGTAATACATTCATACCTTAAAAATATACAGATATGTATAGGTAGCTCATGGGCTGTCTAAGCACTTTGTATAAAAGAGCATCAATGGCTAGATCTCGCAGGCGCAGGGCCTTCTTTACCTTTTGTATTGTCTGTGCATATTGTATGTTCAATTAGCTGCGGAATATGTTGGCGCTTTATAAATACCAGTAATAAATGGGTTATGGCCCCTGCTTTCTGTTATTCCCTACTTATTAATGCCTTAATCAGATTTGTATATTCACTAAACTATTTAACCTTTTTAATTTTTTTTTATTGTGCTTATATTTTTAAATACTTGCAGTTTTATTTTTTCATTTCGTCTCCATACTGTTCTTTGAAGCATGCAGGAGATGTGCAAACAGTGTTTGCTTGGCTCATGGTTCCAGCATGATGGTATGTTAGATAGGAAATTGTGAAGGACAGCATGTACATTCAAAGATCCATGTCTCTTTCCCCCCATCCTCCCTCATTTTAATCTACAATGAACTGTACAAAATAGTTTGTCACAGGGCATAAAACATTCAATGCTGAATCCTCAATTAAGGGTACCTATGACTCCACAGCACTGTAATTATTCGTAATTAAGGAACTTAAAGTCAAAGGTTTTGTGTACGGACTCCATAGCCCTGGTTTGACACTTTTTAACAGGTACTAACAAATTATGACCTTTTAGAATGGGGAAAAAAATAATTGCAAAACATCTATTCAGCAGGAATATATTTTTGCTTATCCATTTATACCATGTCAAATCTTCTACTCTGTGCTGTGTGTTTGGAGTGAAGGCCATTAATCTAATATTTGTCCCTCCCTATGGGTAGGTGACTGGAATGGTAATCGTGAAATCACTGTTTGGCGATGAACTCAGAGGATTTCCCCCAAGGACTATAAAGTCATTAACCCAGGATATGGGGAAAAACAGCATATGGTTGTTTTAGAGCACTCTTATCTCTAATCAATAATGTGTATAAGGAGCTTTTATCCCTATGCTTGCTTCTTCAGAAAGTCCCAGAAGTATAGATGGGCTTACAAAGTGCGGCTTTGGAGTAATGTGAAAATACATGCTGCTGGTAAATAATTATTCGTATTTCCACTGTATAGAGAACAGAGTTATTGTACATCTAGTTTATAATGCTAAATATCCAAAAACCTCTGCACATTAATCCTTGCACGTCACTACATACGAACACAAATGTATTTAGGAGCTCTATTAAAGTGGCACTGTCATGCCGAACTTACCTTTCCCTAATCGCTTCCTCTTCTCTCCCTCTCTCAGGATCTGTTCTCCATTTCTTCCTATCAAAGTAGGGACTCACTACTTTAATGAACTACTTTAGCCCCGACGGGTATTATGGATTTTTATTTGGTCTTTTTTTGGTGCTTTAAAAAAAAAAAAAAGTGGGGGGTGGGGGTTTAATTTTGACATTTTTATTTATTTTTTACAAACAAAAAAATCAGATAAGTATAATTTATTTACAGATATATAGTTTTATTGTCTCCCCCTCACTATTTTTAGGGTGAGGCTAAGTAGGGTTTTATTTTATTATTTTGGGGTGGGGGGTTGACTAGGGGGCTTGGGGACCCCTAGTCACCTGGAGGGGGTATTTTTACATTAAGCCCCCATAGTATGTTGTCAGGGGGAGGTAGATCTTGCCTCTACTTGCGGTATAGTGAGTAGGGGCATTCGGGAGATTTCAATCTCCTTTATGCTAATATGACTGCCATGGAGTGAGGGAGGACATGGGGGGCTTAGAAGTGGCGGGGAGTGTGTAGGGGATGTGTTGTGATTGTAGAGCAAGCATGTCAAACTCGCAGCCCGCATGCAGCCCACAATTAATATTTTTGCGGGCAGGTGAGCCGCGAGTTTGAAATGCGTACTGCTGAGGCAGAATAGGCACCTGCTCTCCCCACGTTGCAGGTGCCTACTCTGCTCAAATTTACCCAGCTGGGGGAGAGGTCGCTCCCGCCTTGTAATAAACTGAAGAAACGAACACCGATATTCGGTGTTTGCTCGTCTGAAATTTCTATTCATTCCTTCATCTTTCTGTCGACTAAATGAATAAACAAAATTCCCATCCGAATTTTGGACAATAGCGAATGTCCAAGTGATTTACTGGGCATGAGTTTCACAACGCTATCTAGTTTGGGCAGATGATGTGTTCCACAGGGACTTCATCTGCCTACACAAAGATGGCGGTGCCCAGGACCTAGGCCGGGGCATTAAATTAAGATTTTTTTAAAATAGGTAATATGGGGGGCTTATGGACATTTGGAGGTGACTAGAGGGACAACTAGATGTAGTGGAGCCATGACCATGCCACTTTAAGTATGTACTACACATACAAGTAGAAGATGGAAGGGGTTTTTAATAAATCGATGTTCTTTTAGAATGTATAACTTTTTTTTTTTTATCTTTTTTGTTGTTGTTGTTGTGCATTAGATTACAGCAGTTCTTGTATAGCCACGATAGCTCCCACAAGCGTGAATGTCATAGGTTGGTGAACATAAACATGGCATATAGAGAACTTGCATATTTTTTAACAGTTTGTAGATCACGTTTAACTAGCTAAACTGTGAGAGGGATATATATACCTAGAGGTCCTATAGTTTGACTGTATTAGCACTTATATATGCAAACCAATAGTTTGAGTAGTGCATGCTACAGGTCTATCGCTGACTGTGTAAACAAGAAATAAAATTGAATGTAGGTACAATCCAAGTTATAACATTAGTAGCTTGCTTTATGGCATATCCTCTTAACAAGCAGGGCATACAGTGAGTTCAGTGATAGGTGTAGGAGAGGAGTAATAACTGGGTTAAATGGCTCGTGCATTCCAGGCACGAGACTTAGATGGGGGCTATGGGCATGCTTAGTAATCAGGAGTGACCCTTAAACTAGGTCTAGTCGAGTTATTAAGATATCTTAGTTAAGCATTAGCAGACAGTCCACAATTGACCCATCATAAAATTATCTTTGACTAATTTGTAGCGTTTTCTGTCTTGGTACCGGTGTGCTGGGTTGCAGCAGCAAGTCCTTAGGGGGACATGGGTACCTTACTCGAGGGCATGTGGCACTGTCAGCCAATACCTCGCCTTGGCAGAGCCATACCGTCCCTGGAAGTTCTTGGGTTCGCCCGGATGCGCCTCTGTGGTTGGTCAAGGTGTGGATTATGTCCGGCTTCTCTCTCATTTTGCTGGGTCTGTGAGTATGCCGCTTGCTCTTCCGAGGTGGTCCAGCAGCGAGCCTCCCGTGGGGGGGCCGGGTCTTTCCCATAGCGGGAGTAACTGGGGATCTGGTGGTCCTCCTAACGTCCGTGTGGACAAAGTCTTCGGGTCAAGCCCGTGGTGGCCCTCGGCCCAGGTGGGCTAGCGTTAAGAAGTGCAAGCTTATTCAAGTGCGTTAGGCCTGAGGGAGTCCTCTGCTCCCGCCGCCCCGTTCACAGACTCGGGGCTGGACTGGTTTAGATACCAGGTGGTTCTCCAGATTGGTCCATAGCTTTTGGAAGTGCTTATTCAGCCGCTGTAACATGTGGTCTGGTGCTGGTGCACGCTACTTGTGTGCCGTCTCAGCAGACCATGTGACAGTCGCCATTTTGGTTTGTCTCTCCTTGCTTGGTAATACCCTGTGCTGGGTCTATATGTCGGTGCTGTGCCGCTTGATTTATGCAGTCGAGTAGGGACCAGGATAACCCCGTCCAGGAGTGTGGGGGGGAGGGTTAGGAGATTGCTTGCTCTCGCTGGTTACCAGTAAGCAGGGAGGTCGGCCGCCTCTCCCCAGCTCCGGTGTAGTAGGCCACAGCGGTGTCTCTTCGGTCTCCTGTGCTTAGTTTGTTTGGTAGGGTCTTGGGGTTAGTCGCTTAGTCCCCTCTGGGCTCTTTGCTGCCCGTCGGTGGGGTGTAGTCACGGTTTAGCCAGGGTTTTTTCCGCTTTTTTTAGCAGGAGCTCCAGCCACACACGTCTGCTCCTCTTGCCTGTCAGGCTCCACCCCGAATGTATCACTTTTATAACAAACTTTCATATAAGATGCTGCATTACAGTGCTGCCTAATCTCCTTCTCTTTTTAATCGCCCAATGGCACTGCAGCTCAGACATTTTGTATTCCCATGAACATTTTTATTTTTAAAATGTTGCTTCAAGCTTCATGACCACTTCAGTGATTTAAATGGTAATGATGCCAGTAATATATATGGGCAGTGTTTCACTTTAACCCCTTTGATGCTGGAGATGGTAGGATATCTGTGCAACAAGTGTTCTGGATTGGCTGTCAGTTATGTGCATATTCTACCATCATCAAAGGCACTACAGCTGATGGATTGAGTAGTGTGGAATAGGAAGACTATGGAAACTTGCGTACTGAGGTGACTGACTGTTTGAGATTGGAGGACAACTATGTCCCATAAGGTTGATGAGAGAGAGGTGTGTATGTATATGTATGTATATATATATATATGTGTATATGTGTATATGTATATATACACACACTTTGAGTATTATTCTGGTGAACAAACCTGATTTTAAAGATGGTAAAAAACTTTTTTAAACGAATGTGAACATTCTTACATTATTTCAAGTACCATGACTAATTCATTGATTTGAAGTGGTCATGGTGCCTGGAGTCTGAATGCTGCATATATGGAGTTTAGTCACTTTGCTGTCTCGGAAGTTATTTCATGTCTAATTACAATAGGGAGGATAAAAATATAAGGGAAGTCTGTAAAAGTGAGGCTTGGCAATTTGACATGTGAAGATTAAAGTGACAATGTAATTTTTATTTATACACTTTTTTTTTTTTTTTTTCTTACTGAAGAGAGTAATGGACCAGAGTCACACAGTGAAGAGCACATATCTTAGTCGGTTTTATGTAGCTATGGAGTTATTTAAAAAAAAAAAAAAAAAACACTAATTGATCTGTAATATGTTGGCCATATGAGATTATCTGCAAATTGGAGCCTTTTACCCACATGACAAATCAAATCATCCCTCTCCCCCACCCCATATATATATATCCTTTTTGTGTTAGTTATGTGTGTGAGGAAATAACTTCCTGTATCCTCTATATATAGAGAGCAGAGGAAATTCATAAGTGGGGGTCAGATATACATGTGGATCTGCCTTTGCTGCAAACCTCAGCAGTTTGGCTCAAGGCTTTTAGCGGAGCTGTCTTAGAGGACAAATAGGTGATTAAAAAAGACTTCCTTCTTTATAGTATCCATGCTTTCTCTTACAGTAAGGCGTCTTGCCTGAGATGCGTGTCTTATTCACTTCTTTTTCTTAAACATGTATACTCATACTGGCTTTGGAAGCAATTAACAATATAAAATTGAAGGAACAAAATAAGTGCAATTTAGATTCTACTTACATTTGCTTCTGATCATTTAAATAAAACCACACATGATGGATTCTATTTTAAAATCTTATCTATGTTAGTGGAGAGAAGAATGTCATTTGGGGAAAAAAAAGAGGCGGTGTATACATTGCACTTTTCTGGTCAGCTGTTTCTGAAGCAGTTGTCAGTTATATATTAATGACAAGTTGTACATACATAAGTTTTCATGATTGTAAATGTCTGCCAATTCTAAATGAACAATATTTTTGGTTTTGTAATATTTTTACTTTTCAATTGAGTGGTGGTGGTCGTCTTCTCTCTCTCTTTTCTTTTTTTTTTCCTTTAATGTTTAGTGTAGCCATACTTCCTTACAAAAATCATTCATAAGGTTTTAAGACCCTGGCCCCAAATGATTTTTAACATGCACACTGGGCTTTAATATTGGATTAGGTTGATCCAGCTGGTATTATTTTATCTTTGCTACCTATATAACACGAGGGTGGTTGTTGGTGGGGGTGTTTTTTTTTAAATTTTATTTAATTCTTATTCTCTGTATACAATGCTTCAGAGAAGACCGCTGGGGGGGAGGGGAGGAGGGAGGGGGTTGTTGTATTCCACATCAATAACATGATTTCATGTTTTAAGACAATCATTTCAAAACCAGACACATTGAGGTTTTAAATTGCAAAACATGTCTAGGAGTGCCAATCCTGGAAGGGTTAAGTTGCATGAAGTGTTGGATTTTGCAAGTGCTTGCAGAACAAATGTTTCCCCTAATCTTCATTTCCTCTCTGTTTTACTGCAATGTTGGTGGAATTACTGACATTCTTGAAGTATCAGGCGCTAGCTCCAGTATTGTCAGTCTTATTGTGAAAGTAGAGTTTCTGTTATGGATTTTCACAAATTTGTGTAAGATCACCGAAGTCTGTGGCTTTATCTCCTAAAAGGTGGTTTCTAACCGTTCAATATATACTCTAATTCATAATGTGGAATGTTTGTATAATGAATGATTGCCTAGTTTTAGCTGCTGAGATTGGGCTATGGAAACAAATGAGCTGTTCGGTATTGGCCTTACATGGTTTCCATCCATATTCTTGCTATATGTGGCTGACTGTAGAACGTCTGGAAGCCTCTTTCTTGGGAGTTGTTGGGTTAAAATGATTAAGCCGCTGTGTCTGTGCCTGCACAGCACACACCCTATTGTCATTACAGCATGGAGACAATGCAGCCAATGAGAAAGCAGAGCAGGGAACAGGAATTGTGTGCCTGTCAGGGCTCAAATCATCCATGTCCTTATATGGTAAAATTTACTGTCTAATCTCAGGGAAAGCTCACTTGCCGACAGGCGGGGCGGGGGAAGCTATATGCATATTGTGCTTTAGGCTCCTTCTCTATGTGCCTATGAAGACAGAATATATAGCAATAATATATACACACAGAGCCGGAATAAAATGAAAATAACAAACTCTGTGGACGTAGAATCCTTGCTCTAAGAAAACTGATTTAGCATTACACGTATTTGGCAAAGCGTCCTCTCCTAATAGTTTTCCATGATGTAAATGAGAATATGGGGTTCTCATAAAGATATGTCAATTTGATGAAAAATAAATTGATTGCAGTATGTTGCCAGAATTTGAAAAGGATCTTTATCCAACAATATATGCAGGTGCATTTTACAGCCATTTCTGATTTAGACCAGGATAACCTTAAACAATATTGCAGGCGTAGCACAATGTGATTTTTTTTAAATATCCTACGTTACCAGAGAGATCTGCAGCTGTGTCTAAGGCTAATTCATGAATTCCATTTGAGGTGACAATGAAGGCTCCTGAACTGAATGTCTCCTGTATATAGATTTCATTGTGTATGTGTTTTCTAGGAATCCTGTGCTAATCCACATGGAGAAGACATGGAATACCAATTAGTGGCTGTTCCTCTGTGGTGCATGTACAAATTAAGGGTTAATTTTAGTAAAATGGCTGCAGACATCTGTGCAGACTTCGCTGCAATGTCAGTACCTTTTATTTCACATTTGTGTCAAGTGTTTAAGCAAATAAGATTTTTTTTTTTTTTTTTCTCCTTTACCTGCTGAAAAACCTCAAACGTGACTGGATTCTAAATAAAAGATCACTGCCAAGGATCAGAGTGTAAGGCTTTTACAGCATGTAGTGCAAACAAGGTGTGGTTAAGATGTTATCTGCATTCAAACTATTTCACATCCAGGCTAAATTACCTCTTAAGATATGGGAACCTTCCAAGGAATGTAGACTATTTCACAGTTCACTTTGTAACAGCCACAAAATGGCACATATATACAAGCAAAGTCCCTCATGGAAGAAATGTCAAGACAGAATGGTGCACAAGCAGCCATTATGTGGCAAAGGATTTGTATTTATTCTATTTTTGATGATCTGTGTTAAAATTACTGAAGCTTTTGCCACTTCTCATCTTCTATGTTTTTACTGTAGTGAATTCAGTTGGGGTCTTTCTAAATCAAAAGGATAATCCAGAGGAGGACCTCATGCTCACCATGCTTTGTGGGGTTTCAGCTATGCCTCACTGACAAGGCCTAATGAAGGCTTTAACAATAATTTTAGTTTTGCTATATCTTTTGTGCAGTGAGAACCTCCTGGCAGTTCAGATGATCTCCACGGAGTGTGGGTATATGCTTTGTTTTATAGCATACGCATCTTTTTTTTTATTATAACTTGTGATTTGGCCCAAGATTGACTTAATAATAAACTTAATCATCATTATAATAGTGCTCTTTTACCTTTCTAAATAACTGTTTGCCTTATCTTGATGGAAAAGCTCTCCGGAAGAGAATCCATTTTCTTACTGTCCTTGCATTACAAGAAACACATAGGGTGTGAGGTTTTATATGAGCACTAAAATCTGGGCTGGCAGGAGATTTTACAGTCTAGGGAGCACATTGCCCTAGACTAATGGCAATTGCATTGGACTGTACCCAGAGCCACATTGACTTAAGTGCTTAAAGTGGCTCTGTCAGTTAAAAAAAATAATAATAATAATAATAATAATAATAATAATAATATATATATATATATATATATATATATATATATATATATATATATATATATATATATATATTTTTTTTTTATAAAAAAATTTTTAGGCCCTTAATCTTAATGGTAATATTTCATCTCTTGCCACTTTCCTTTAATTTATATTTTTATTTTTTTTCTATCTTGTGATGACTGGGTGCAGGTCTGCTCATGATATCTGCTGTTGGGATTAGTTTTACTGATTGGTTGTGGATAAATTTGATTATCAACTTAAAAAGGACCTTGTGTTAAGCTTCACCCATTGTCAAGTTTAACAATGAGGAAAGGCAGACTAAATTTTTCATTATTGTGTAAAAACTTGAGCGCTCAAAATGGGGGGGGCGGATGGAGGTAGGGGCTGGCTAAGTGTGCATAGGAACTAAACTTTGGCTGCCTAAGTAATAAGCCAGCCTTGCCGGGTCATAGGTATGAGCACTTGTGAAATAGTGTGCCAGTATATGGACAGGATGAGCTGCGGTGACCAGATCTCGATCCGCCAACCCTGAGCTCAAGGTCTCATCACTGGGTTTAATGGATATTCTCAGAGGAGTAAGTAAATACATAATCTAGGAACGTAATGTTGTCCTGTTCAGGCTTCTGCATACTTTGGGTCTGATCTCCGATGTTTTTTGTGACCCATACTGGTTTCATCGAATTGGTGAGGATTTATAAGGTATCGCCAAATTCCACCTGAAAACAGCCTTTTTATGCAACATTTACTCTGCACTCAAGATCGCTCTGGTTCACTGCTAAGCTCTGTGCGCCCCCCCCCCCGATAATGACATTTTTGTCAGAATTGTACTAAAATATATTGATGTTTTTCTGCAGTGGGCCACTTCTTCAAAAATATGTGTGGGTCGCACTTCTTTTTCATTAAGCGAAAATATGGTCTTTTAGCTGTGTAATGCATGTTAACACTGGATTAACAATTTGACAAGAACGCAAAAGCAGTTGACCGTTTTTCAGTATAGCAACATTTCAGACACTTCCTGAGGTTTGCATTCCGAAGGGAGGTAAAGAAAGTGAAAGCATGAGTTAAACTGGAGCACATGGAGATTGAGTGGGCTGTAAACGTGCCCAACCACCCTGGTTTATTATTTTTTTTAAAACTGGGCTATGGGCTCCTCATAGGACTGCTCCTCCACATAGCTTTCTTCAGCGTGATGGTCCTGATGCATGTCTGTCTTCCTTCCCTCTGACCCTTGCGTATGACCTCATCCGCAGGGTAGAGGAGGGAATATGTGCACTACACTATTTGCGGTACTCCTTGCCGAAACTTAGTTCCCCAATGCTGCTTCAAGATCACGTTTGGTCAGCAGTAGGAGGTGCGGTTACTGCTACAGATATCACGCGTGCCACATGTTGGACCCCCCTGTTCTAGTAAATGTTACTCAACCACTGCATTCCCTATCTGCACCTCAGAACCTACTAAGTGAACATGAAAAAATGATCCTAGTACAAACATAGCATCAACAACATTACAGTTGTTATGCATGGGGTAAACCAAGAGACTTATCTAGGCTTAAATTTAAAGAATGAAATATCCAAAGATTTGTTTTCCCAACATAGTTCCAGAGCAACATGCAACCTCATTTAAAGTGAATTTGCTGGATCAACAAAGTTTAAACTATCCTGGCGTGGATGTATGAAAATATATATATTTCAAACAAATCACAGGTAGAAAACTCATGAAGGCTGTGAGGCACCTTTCTACTCAAACTATATCCATGGGGAGAAGATTAGTCCGTTTATTCCATTTTTCCAACTTGAGATTCTTATTGGTCGTAAGCACCCTTTTAATTAAGTTTACGTGGGTGCTGGTTTTTTTTAATATACTTGGCATACATGTGCTGTGCAGTCTTGCTTTAAGCAAAGTCAGCTTCCAGAATGAGAAACAGACACTGATGTTGGAATAAACTGCATCGCTGCCAAGAAAGTGCTGTATGGGCCTATCACATCAACAAGCAGAAAATCATTTTCTTTGTTTTAAACATTGCATCTATAATTCATGATGAATAGTACAGTAACAGCTGACCTATTTGTTCCCTGCAAAAATAACTTCAATTTGGTTTTATAGTTTATCTAGTTCTTTTTTTCTTTTTTTTTTTCTCCCTTCTTTAGTTGTCACATAGTAACAGTGTTTGTTTGTTTGGAGTACAAAATGGAATTCAAAAAAACAAAAACTGGATTGAACATTGTAAGAATTGCATCAAAATACTTCTGACTCTTACCTAAAAAATAAGATTTCCCTGTGCTGTGAATCCGTTATAAATGACTTTTAATCTTGGCTTAAGTGAACTGGTCAGATTTGCTCTGGAAAATGTTTTGACAACAATGGGGTGATGTGATTTTACTGTCACTATAGTCAACATGGGCCTTTAGGCTTTTTCATGGCAGTTGCTTCCCGACAGTAGCCACAAATCTCAGATGACTTACGATGGCTTTGTCGTGGCTAGGGCTATTCAGTGCATGCTCATTAGTTCATCATTATTTGGTGGGCAATGAGCATGACTTGTGTCAGTGGTGATTGAGGGAGATGACCTTCCAACTTGATCTCTCCCTCCCCCTCCCCCACCAGCAGATCATGGCTAATTTGTCACTAGATTGACTCTTCTGTCTCAATTTATTTATTTCTCTATTGTAAAAAGAAATGTGATACTGTTTCCTGTGGGCACTATTGCTATGCCGAGAGAGCCTGCGTGTCTCATTGCTTTGCAATGTAGTCCTGGGCCCACCTATGTCGAAATCTTTAGACAGAAGGATTTGGGTGCGTGCGAGAGTGTAGTTCTGCTTACTGGTTTGTTTCTTATTCTGCAGTACATATTTAGTTGGCAATATTCTGGAAGCTTGCAAAACCGATAGCGATTAGGTGCCAGCTGAGATACCTTCCAATATCTGATTTTTACTTTGTTGTGATGTTTGCTAAATTATCTCCTTGCAAATGAATAGAATAGCCTTGGGACAGCCCTTGCTCGATTTCTTAGGGCATTGCTGTGACCATTGGATCTGTGGCAGCAGCTAATATGCTATGATCTACACAGACTGCTCTGCTATGTGAACCTTTCTCTTGCTTCTGGAATGTTGTCTCTGTTCACAAGCCAAGGACACCCTGCATCTTCCAGGAAGCTCAAGCCTAATAATCCTGTATGGCGTCTCTCATAATGCATGCTCACATTATGAATCAACCCTTCAAGTAATGCTGTCCAGTAATCTAGAACCTGTGGTTTGTCTGTATTTGTTGGACTCGAGCTGTAGTCAATGGGCGGATGTGTTTGCAGTCCAATATCCACTGATTGCCCAGGTTATAGGCAATTGGCATTCATTCATTTTCTGTCTTATCTGGACACAAGTAATCTATGCATTTATTTTCTGTCTGTATTTGTAAAGTGACAATTAAAAAGGGATTTTTGAACAAAGCATGTTTCTGATTTGCAGTGTACAGACATGTTAAAACTGATAAACTTGTCTGTTGTAATTGTCTCTTAGCTCTTCCATATGTATTTGTTCCCTCAAAGGGACACTATGGTCACCAAAATAACTTCATCTTAATGAAGCAGTTTTGGTGTATAGAACATGCCCCTGCAGCCTCACTGCTCAATTAAATAATCACTTTGTTTATGAACCCTAGTCACACCTCCCTGCATGTGACTGACGCTTCCTGTAAAGAGTCATCCAAAGTCTATCCTTTCTTTATTGCATGTTCTGTTTAATTTAGATTTTCTTATCCCCTGCTATGTTAATAGCTTCCTACAAGAGCCTCCTGTATGTGACTTAAAGTTCAATTTACATAGCAAGAGATAAAATTGTTTAAGGTAAATTACATCTGATTGAAAGTGAAATTGAGCAGTAAAACCTGAGAGGCATGATCTATACACTAAAACTGCTTCATTAAGCTAAAGTTGTTTAGGTGACTATAGTGTTCATTTAACATAAAAGCAGTCTATGCATTACAAAAGATCACCTCTCCAAAGCCCTTTCCTCCTCATCCTTCAATACACAGCCACCCCCTCTTTTTATCTTTTCTTTCCATCATTAAGAAACCGTTTTACATTGAGCATCTGGGGTGGTCACAGCCTTTGCCCATAAATATGGGAGCAGAACTTATAGCATTACCATGCCCTCCTCTTAGTGGAAAAAAAAAAACATGTGGAAGAGACATCTGTTTTTATTACATACATGCTTTAGCCTTTCAAGCATATGTGGCAGTAAAATCGCCTCTACATTACACTGAATCTAAAATTGTGTGAATGTTAATTTCTTAATTTCCGGCAGTTTTATATACCGAAGATAATAACCAGCCGATCATTATTTTACCAAGCCTAATATATTTATCTGAAAACCACATAATATACAAGGTGTAAGGGATACTCTGAGCACCATAACAACCCGTTCATTGCATTTGTCACAGTGCTGGAATGTCTATATCCATGTCTCAGCACACAGTTTGTTATAATTGCAGCAAATGCCCTATATTTTTGCCTTTACCTATATGAAATTTTGCACACCGCATGTACCATCTGTATAAATCTCCATTCTTGCTGCTGACCACGCTTACACACAGCCCACGACTTTGGTGTTAACAGTCAGTGAGGGGAGGTGAACACTTCTCGCAAGACGGTGAACAGTTTACTCGATAAACTGATAGCACTCACTGTATGGCTTTTGGCTTTTCCAGCAGCTCCACTTATCTTGTGACAAATGGAAAGTACAGCTCAGGACAACGGTTTAACTGGGTATGATTCAGGCTCTAGAGTCAAAATAAGCTTGATTGGTAGATCCCATTTGTGGCAGAGCTTGCCGCTGTATTCTCTACAGATACATTTCCATCCTGGAGTGTCCAATTTTACTACCATTCTGTTTCCCTCTCAGGTCTCATACCTTTAACTCACTTGTGGACAGAGGGGACTTATGCATTTTGCAAATCACACTGGTGTCATCCATAAGGGAAAAACATTGACAAAATGGCATTCTGGTCTCATCTGCACAGTAACCCTTGACAATTGTTTTGGCCTTCTTGCAAGCAAAATGTTTGTTTTTGCTTTTACTAGATCATGCTTAGAGGGGCTTTGTAAGTATTACACATGCAGCCACTTATAATGGGTTGTTAAGTTCAAGGAGACAGCTGTCCAACCTTGTAAGACAATGAATGCAAGAACTGGACTAAACCACTCTGCACACATTCCCTGTATTCACCTTCCAAGATTGACTTATGTGTCATTAAATTGGCATCTGAGGGACTGAGCAGGTCCTGATTTTTATTAGAGGGTTTGACAAAAAGATGAAGTGTTACACACATTTCCAGAGTCTTAATCTGTAGTGGTTATAGTTCATAGTGACCTTTTACTCAAAGGGTAAGAGAAGCCTATTTTACTTGGAATCTGTAGGAAATTATTTAAACCTGATTTTCAAGAAGGCCTGTTTTCGATACAGTCAGACAAAACTACCTACCTTCTGTAATGTAACAGTTTTGCCCAGGTTTACAATGATGCCTGAACTTCCGGTATCGGTAAGGAAAACTGCCTCTGGTGATGAAAATCTGCATCACAGAATTATGCCATCATGGGATGTTGATTCCCGAGAAAGTTCAATAGGCAGGTTTAGAATGGTTAAGCACTACATGTGTAAGTGGAACAGATTCACATCTAAAAACTGGGAACATCTGCGCTGTGTTTGTTTTATGTAGTGGACAACGTTTGAGCAAGATGCTATCTAGAAACAAAAGTCGTTCCATAGTAGTAATGCTAATGTAGGCCTAATTTAACATTGTTTAGTCTAGGTAAAATCTTATTTTAGAGGCTATTGGTGAAGTTCTTGTTCATAGCAAGAAAAGAATGAACAAACAAAGGCTTGCTGTGAATATCAGCAAAACTTTTTCCTATTTTTGGAATGACTTTGGGTTTCTTGTCACATTGTATTTACATGTGAACGATTTATGCTCAAGATGCTGCTATAATTGAGAGATTCTGTACAACCATGTTTAGTATTAACCCTTTCACGCAGGTGCAAACACACAAATCTGTCCCTAAATGTTGAGTGATTGCCGGGAGTTTCATGCCTAATGATCGCAGCCAGTTTATATTGTGCAAATTACTAGTTGATGGCCAATACTGACTGCTGTAAGACAGGAGCTTTACTTATCGACTATTTACCTGAAGTTTCAACCATCTTGAGTGCTTCACATGTCTGGAACTTACCAATGTGTTCTTGCACAGGTTTGCATTGCACCACCAATACCCATTGTTACATTTCTCTATCAATATGGAAAAAAAATATCTCTTGGTTACTACCATGTTACACAGTATCGAACAGGCAAGTCTCCCTCGTATTCATCAAAATGTTATGAAGACTTGTAGTTAAAGGAACACTACACTGAATGTTTTTCTTGTCACTGTGCACCCAAAGTAAACCGGCAGGTCTCTCTTTTTTTCTTTTTCTTAATTTTTTTTCGCATGTGTTCGTCAGGGGCTTATGGGGGGAAAAAAGTATTTTACAAAAAGCTGTCTACTGTATGTGCTGTCTGGAGTCTGCAAGCTCTCCCTTATTTCACAGACATCATTCCAATCATGGGCTTCTAATTAAGAATGCTCTGTGCTGGAGCTGCACACACGTAGAACAACCAGCGCACCTGCCACTTCCATTAACTCCATAGAGCTAACAAAAGCAGAAACTGACGGCCACATAGGTATGTCACGCTAGACACCACAACAAAAAGTATTCCCATCAACCTGAAGTTCTTTCTTTTTGGAGTGTTCCTTTAACTGTAGACCCACTTCTTAACCTTAATAATTGGTATGGGGAACTCAATAGACCTTCCCTGACTGGAACCCCTGGTTTGCAAAGTAGCAGGTTGCCTTGGCATGCTGCATTGGCAGACACAGCTGTTCCAGTTTCACTAGAACATGTGTGGCATCCTTACTCACAGGAAGTGGTCACTTTGTCTTGATTTTCGGGCCGAATGCTGGGTGGGAGGAAGTTGTGAGATATGTTGTCTGCTAGTAGAGCTTGCTGAGGTAGCATTGTCTGTGAGAATACCAGGAATACTGCGAAAGACAAACGGGTTTCATATATCCAACTTACTACTGATGGATGAGGAACAGAGAAAAATTGATCTCCACGTATGCATTTGTATGAATGTAGTGCTGCTGTGCCTGAATGGGTGAGTGTACTGATGTGTACAAATGAGAGAGAATAGGGCTGTCCGGGTGTGACCCTGGTTCATAAATCCTAGGGCATTTGCCAAACCATGATCTACTTATGTTATTTGTCGTTCAGTTGGTCCATTTTTTTTATTTTGAGATCTTTATCAGAATTCCTGTATGGACTTTCTTCCTTGATTCCTTAAAAAAAAAAAATGCATGCCTGTATATTTTCTTGTGTTTCTAAATGTATCTAATATATCTTGGACACTCGTGTGCATTGTTGATATAGATTGCCATCTAGTGGATGAAATTGTTTTTATTTCTAATAAAATGACAGGTTAACCTTTCCTTCAAATTACCAAGGCTGATTTTAACCTATTCCAGGGGTGTGGATTTTTATTTATTTTTTTATTTATTTATTTTTTAGTCCCTTGGACAAGATTTAACATAAAGTGCTTCTCCTAATTCAAAATAATATCAAAGATTGTGGTCCCTTGCTTGGAGACAGGGATATTTGCTAAACCCATTATCACAAATGAAATCGGAATTAAAATATTGAGGCAAAAATAGCTGATCTCAAAATATTCTCTAACTTTGCTATACTGTAGTTAGAATATTAGTATTTTTGATTCAATTTTGCCATTTGGATTTATTTTGCAAAAATTAAGTTTTGTGAATTACTGTGTGTGCTGGCTGACTGTAATCTGTGTTTGCATATGTGATCCAGATTTTTTCTGTACAACTTTTATGCATATATACACAATGATGATAATGTATACAAATGTAAATATGAATAGAATACACATTATACATGTGTATATGCAGAATACTAAAATTGTTGAATTTGTTTAATCATACTTTTTTGACACCTAACACACATCAGACTCCTACGCTGTCATTCTGACACACACACTGACCGGTGCACACACTCAGTACTCAAACACAGACCCCTTTACACACAAAGTACGTTTGGCCAAAACAGATATACACATACACACACTGACCAATATACACACAAACTACATCAGACTTACATACAGTACAATTCATATACATATTACACAAGACCAGCAGGTTTAATATTTGTCTGTCTACTGCTTGTCCCCTTCACTTTTCTTTCCCCCCAGGATATGACTTCAAGATGTAGAATTGGCTGCTTCTCCTTGCACCTCCCCATGCCTGGCAGTCCACTGTGGCCCCTGGTTGCCTCTTCCAGCAAAGAGGACAGTCTGTCCACCACACCAATACTCAAACTTAGCTTGTCATCTAGCCCACTGTTCCCCAAACCAATCCTAATGGCCCACCAACAATCCAGTATTTATGTATTTCCCTGTTTTATTCCAATAGAGAGACTGACAAAACCTGGACTGTTGGCTAGACCAGTGTTCCCCAACCCAGTCCTCATGGCCCACCAACATATTAACTTGTTTTGTGTTGTTGGAATATTACCAGTAATCTCTATGTGGAAAATAATTGAGGTTGATCAGTCCGATGTCATACTGAAACAGCCCTGACATGCAGATACAGAACATTCTATATTGCTTAGTCTGTGTTAATGCTCTTGGATTTTTTAATAACTATTATTACTTTATTTTTTTAAGCTTGTATTGACTTTTCTAATGGCCACTTTCCTCCTCTTCTCTGTAGACTGGAAGAATTGACAAGTCTTATCCAACAGTGTGTGGCCATACAGGACCAGTGCTGGACATTGACTGGTGTCCACATAATGACAATGTTATAGCCAGCGGCTCTGAAGACTGCACTGTCATGGTAATCCTCTCCTTTTATTTTTTTTTCTTTGTGCTTTCAGAGTATTTGGTTTTGTGACTTTCTGCAACGTATTCTGTTTCATGAATACAGAACAATGTACAGGTATCTTCTGTTCTGCACTATCGTGCCTTTATGGTCCAGGATCCTTTTTGTATGACGATAGATTCTGTAGCAAATATAAATGTCTAAACAAACAAACCAGGCACTTGCAATAGAATAAACAAAATGTGATGTGTAAATTCAACTATTCTATCTCTAGTGGAAGGGAAACAAAGTTGTAGCTCCTGAACTGTTGCACTTAGTAACCAGGCTCTCCTGACGTGTTTTTGTGTTCACACAGTTCCTCTAGGGCATGTCTGATCAGATTTAAAGGGACACTATAGGCACCCAGACCACTTCAGGTTTCTAAACCCTGCAAAGAGAACTATTGCCGTTTTTCATAAACTGCAGTGATTACCTTTTTGAGGGTTAACTCCACCTCTAGTGGCTGTCTAGGCACTGAGCTTCCTCAAACTATGCATGAGGACATCCTGTGTCACCCTTATGTGAGCGTGACCAAGCATGAGGCAGAGCCCGAACCACCACCATGGACATTGGCCCTGGTATCAGGTAGGTGGGGGGTGGGAGTTACTATAGGGTGCTATAAGGCTAGGAACTTTGTTTTCCTGGCACTAAAGTTTCCTTTTAAGCAACCTCGTATTTACTTTTATAGTAGTTGCATTAACATGAGCATTGCATTGCATATCAGCATTGCATTAAACACCCCATACCTGAGCATTCTTCTAGAAATGATCACCTTATTTATGGTGGGATAGGAGCGGTTTATATTATCTGTAGCAGTCTCTTGGTATAAATGACACTCCTACCATAGAGTACATGTCTACATGGGTCCCTTAATATAAACTGCACAAGTCCCATTCAGGTTAAACATATTATTCCATGCATATAGTAGAGCACTGTTAAAGGCACACTATAGTGTCTGGAATAAAAAACCAAACCCATATTCCTGACACTATTGTCCTTGTATGCCTGTTAAGGTCCTCTGCCCAGTGTCGATTGCGCTGAAAAGGTGTTTTTGTCCCACACAGTGCTGCGAGGCTGGCTCCACTTCCATGGCTCAGATCATTAAACTTTATGGTCTCATGCAATCTAATGCTTTCTCATAAGAAAGCATTGGGAGGCTATAGCGCATGCAGGGCAAAACGCTGCGCCAATCAGCATCTCCTAATAAAGATGCATTAAATCCATGCATCTCTATGGAGAACATTCAGTGCCTTCATGCAGAGCGTGGTGATGCTCCACACCAGTCCTGTACACGGCAACACTTGACTAGGAAGTACCTCCAGTGGCCACTTGAGTGAATGCCATGTAAACACTGCCTTTTCTCTGATAGACTCCAGAAGAACTACATTAGGTTGTGGTTTTTCTGGTGTAGTTGTTCTATAGTCTCCCCTTAAGGAACTGCACTCACTCAAAAATCCTTCTATGGTGCCTTGCAGACTAGAGTGGCATAAATTCCATTAGAAGTACGTAACCAGAAGAAGAAAAAGATCCAGATGCTCAAGGATAATGTAAAGCAGACTTTATTTGAAACATAGAGTTGGCAGTGTTTTGGTTCTGTTATAGAGCATTTATCAAGCCAGCCTTTTGCTTCTGTTCTCCTATATATGCAGTCATACCCACACTCCCATTGCATAGATAGCCTGTCATTTGTGCATGATTTCTTTAAGAGCATATGTTTCTATGTTGGTAATGTCATTGTGATTGGATGTGTTCCTTTTGTGCAAGTTCTCACGTTTGATGCTGTGTGAACCATAAATAAGTGGGGCATGATATATTACACAATACTGCAGCTTCAGACTGGAACTTTTATATAACAAACTGGTCAGAGAGAATTGCTCTCTGAAGCAATCTCCCATCTAGTTTGCAGCCAGGGGTGTTGTCCTCTCTCAAATCGCAAAGGCGACTTCACCATTCTGTATGCAGGTACCAGAGATTCCCAAAGTCTCAGGAAAGCCCCAGGACATTCTGTTTACATAGCGGCCGCAAATCATTTCTGACAGATACTGTCAGTAGGCTCGCCAAGCTACACTGATGGATCACAATTGACTTTGTGGCCAACAGCATCCTAAAGGTGCTATACATGCAGACTGAATTTTGTGTTACATTTGCTTAAGCACCACACATTAAGTTCCCTGTGATGCCAGAGAGCATAAATAACACTTATTATGTCTTAATTTAGGTATGGCAGATTCCAGATGGTGGGCTGACTCTTCCACTTACAGAGCCTGTGGTGGTGTTGGAAGGGCATTCCAAGAGGGTTGGCATAGTAACGTGGCATCCCACTGCTCGTAATGTTCTACTCAGTGCAGGTATGACATTTCCAATGTTTGTTTCTGAAATGTGGTTAGATCCTTTATATACATTGAAGGTTGAACAATATTTTGTGAGTGAGACCAAATGTGCTTGAACACAACTTTTATCTTGTATAGAACGAATATTTAGTTTTCAGATTAAAAAATAAATTAAAAAATGTTCTCTTGTATACAGGTTGTGATAATGTCGTCATTATTTGGAATGTGGGCACCGGGGAGGCATTGATTACTCTGGACGATATGCATTATGACATGATCTTCAGTGTGTGCTGGAATCGTAATGGGAGCCTAATCTGTACAGCCTCAAAAGACAAGAAGTTGCGTGTGATCGACCCACGCAAGATGGAAATAGTAGCAGTAAGCACTAAAAAGGGAATCTTGGGAAAATCGTTATACAACCTAATTTATTTTAGTGTACTCCGTTTATATTAAAAAGCAGCATCTAATAACATGAAAAAAAAATTGCTGTTAAAAGTAAAATATCACTCTCCCAACTATACACTATAAATTGTTCTTTCTTTGTCAAGGATAAAAAGGACTTGGAGGAATAGAATAAATATGATTTGCAGCTTTGTACTGCTAGTATTAAGATGAGCTTTCTCCTCTGCTTCTTTTTTTTGTCTTAGAGCTTGCTAATCCCATTAATAAGGGCCACTTTTATTTCTTTACAATTGATACATTTATATGGTGTACGTGAAAACCTACAGTTAAATGTAACCACTTATATGTCCAGAAGAAACTGAGGGGTTTGGGTTTAGCTGATTCTCTTTATTGCTGCTATCCAGCCCAGATGGCAGAGGTGCACTGATTGCATGCAGACCCTGTGAAAAATCTGTGGGTAGACTTAGAGCATACACTGTTTGGGTGAGACTTTCTATCATTGCACATTTGAGTATACAAACACCATTGTTACCTACCCAAGTTTGCCCTTCATTTCACTGCATTATGGGATGAAATGACATGTAACTTTAACTTTGTGCATTACCCTGTACCTCTTATCACTTTTCTTTCTGGCCCTTTTACAACCTTCAGTACATCTATCCACCTTCAATGACTTCTGCTATATACAAACACACCATTTGGTATAAAAAAGTGGAAATCATGACAATACTTCTCAATTTGGATGTCTTTTATAGATGCCATTCTTTCCTATTCTTTTCTTGCAAACAAACTGTCTTAAATTGATTTTTAAATGCATTTATTTTTTGTTTCAGGAAAAGGATAAAGCTCACGAAGGGGCCAGGCCTATGAGAGCAATCTTTTTATCAGATGGGAATGTATTTACTACAGGGTTCAGTCGTATGAGTGAGCGTCAACTAGCGCTATGGAATCCGGTATGTAGGGTGATTTTTAAAAAAAATGGGGCATCTTCAAATAAAGTGGATAGAACTTCGCAAGATTGTAAACGTGAAACATAACACATTGGAACACTTTGGTTAATGACGCTTATATTAACCTTTCAAGCAAATTGCTGACACTCTTAAGAGTCCAAATCACCTTTTTTTCTCAGTGCTGTTTATCTTAGTCCAAATATTTATTTCATTTTGATATTGCAGCAAGTACTTTTTTAAATTGGCTTACTTTTTCTACTTCAAGTATACCCAAAATGGGGAACTGTCTGATTTTTTTCATCTCCAAATTTTGAATTTTATCGTGCAGGCTCCATGAAAAAAGTAAATTTGAATTGTATGGTAACGTAGCAAGCACTGATCTTTTGCATAACTGTAGAAATGTGCAATGTATCTAGACAAAATTTATAATGTTATCAGTTTTAATTCTATAATTTGATTTCTGTTATATTCTGCACTGGGCTGGCATGCCCCACCGGGATACCGGGAAGTTTCCCGGTGGGTCGCGGCACATGGGGGTTGCACAGCTCTGATTCTTCAGTAATCGTTGCCGCATGAAGGTGCTGGCGGGTGGCCGGTCCAGTAGCACACTGAGGGGGCCGGCTGCGTCCGAAAGTTACCTTGCGGCTGGTGGGCGCAACTCCTGTAATGCATGGTGGTGCCGCCGGGTCAGTTGGCCGCTTTGCCGGTCCGGTGGCACATTCACCAATACTGACAGCCGTGCAGTTGTCGGATAGCACAGGAAGACTGAGGGAGGTGGCAGAGCTGACTATCATGCTCCCTCGTTGTTTCCTAGCACAGCCACATCATACAGTCGTAATTACTCTATAATGTGTCCATGCTGAGAATGTAATCCGCTCGCTAAACTGATAAGTGAATTTCTGTCCTGTGTATATTGCTGACACCTAACCACTTGAAAGCAAAAAGAGAAAATACTAGGTCTGTGAATATTGAGGGATATAAAATACAAAAACAGAGCTGGTTTTAGAATGTATAGAATCTATTTCTAATACTCTAGTCTATACTGGATTTGCTCCTAAAGTTCTCCCCCTCTAAATTGATTTACTTCAGTGAGCAAGCCTGCTCGTTTGCAGGCCCATTACTTCAGTGAGCAAGCCTAATCGTCTGGAAATGCCTGATTGCCCAACTTTGCAAGCCCATTACTTCAGTGAGCAAGCCTGATCGTCTGCAAAGCCTGTTTCCCTGGCACTGACCAAAGTATCCAATGATCTACTCGCTGCAAAATCTCGTGGTCCCTACTCTATCCTAATTCTCCTTGACCTGTCTGCGGCTTTAGACACTGTTGATCATCAAAAGCTTCTTCTCATCCTCCGCAATATCTCTCCTGGTGCTCCCCCTACCTCTCTCAGCGCTTTTTCAGTGTTTTTTTTTTTTCTTTGGCTCTGCTTCTTCTCCCCAACTCCTCTCTGTTGGTGTCCCCCAAGGTTCAGTCCTTGGTCCCCTACCGTTCTCCATCTATACTGCCTCCCTTGGTAAACTCATTAGCTCCTTTGGCTTCCAATATAATTTCTATGCGGATGTCACTGCCTCTCTGCTATTTCTAACTGGATGGCTGCCCACTTCCTTAAACTCAACTTGACCAAAACTGAAATTCTGGTTCTTGCTTTCAAATCGCTACATAATTCTGCTCCCACCTATCTATCCTCCCTTATACACAAGTATGTTCTGTCTAGGCCCTTACAATCTGCTTTAGACTTACGTCTATCTACTCCCACCTCTGATGCTCGCCCTCAAGATTTCTCGAGGGCTGCACCGTTCCTGTGGAATTCACTTCCCTCCTCCGTTAGATGCTCACCCAGTCTCCACTCCTTCAAAAAATCGTTAAAAACCCACTTCTTCATAAAAGCCTATCAATTAAACTGTTAATAGCTCCTGAATGATTCCTCTTCTGCAACTGTCATTAGTCTAATACTATCCTTACCTTTTTGTGTCATTTTACCCCACTCCCTATAGCATGTAAGCTAATTGAGGGGGGGCTTCAATCCCTCTGTTCCTGTGTGTCCAACTAGTCTGGTTACAACTACATGTCTGTTCGTCCACCCATTGTACAGCGCTGTGGAATTTGATGGCGCTATATAAAAATAATTTTTTATAAATTCTGCCACTAGGTTTGGTACATATATGAACTCTCTGCTTGCAACAATAGACACACTAAGAAAACAAACTAAAAGTGAATAAAGTGCTAACATGCGAATTGCTCCTGACGTGCGTTCCAGTGCTCTTAATGGAGCCTTCGTCAGTCTCATTTTTTTTGCCTCTTGACAGTTTAAAGAAAACCGCATCCAACGATGTGTATTCCAAGAACGCTTGGCTAACAGTAATTGGTGTGGAGAGTACTGGCTTTCTTTTTAAAATACTTCCTCACATCATACAATGAGGAATCTATTTGCTTAGTGTCTCTGCAACGTAATAAACATATGCTAAAGCTTTATTGTCAAAACTACCATTACTTGTTATGGAAAACAGATTACATGGTTATACAGTTCTGTAATATTGCAAGGTGATTCTGTTATGATCCAAATTTAACCGGTGTAACATTGATTTAAAATATTTAGTTTTATTATCCCCTTTACTTGAATACTATTGGTCTGACCACTTGTATGATTGTTCCACTCCATTGATGGAAAGCAGATGTAGAATTGCTTTAACAGGTTGCCAGCATCTTCCTGATAATACTCTGTGAATGAACTTGTGATTGGTAAAATTATTTGAAATAGTACAGCATGGTTTTCTTGATCATTTTGTTTTGTTTTTCAGAAAAATATGGAAGAGCCAATTGCACTACATGAAATGGACACTAGCAATGGAGTCTTGCTACCATTCTATGATCCAGACACCAATATCATTTACTTATGTGGGAAGGTGAGCAACCATTTGAAGAGATGTTGGTTTGGTTATTAAATGGCACATATAGTACCATATATGTGCTTTATTGTACAGGTGATGATGCATAGAGCAACCCTGCAAGCACCTTTGAGCCTAGTTAGCAGAGTTAGAAATGCTGTGATTTGTAAAAATTGCTGCACTCTCAGACAACCCCTCATAGCTTTCAGTTTTGCAGCCAGACCGCTTGTTTCGGCTACACAATGTAAGACTTGTCCAACTTTTACATACAGTATCTGTATGCCACAGGCTCATTTGGTGTTGAGCCCTCTCTCCTGGAGAGAGAACAAGCAATGGACCGTGCATGCAGGTAGTCTCCACATAGTTTGAGAAACGTACAGATTTTTCTCAAGCTGTTTTTATGAACAGGGAGCTACTGATTGTCTTGGAGCATCAGCCGAAGCTCAGCCAATTAGTGGCACCCCTCTCCACAGCAGTTTTGGCTGAGCTGAATTGTGCTAGAGAGAAGACTTTAGTGGAAACTGTTTAACCTTTAAAAGTATGTCGCTGCCAGATATAACCCTTGCACCATAACGGCTTAATTCTGATGAAGTAATGCTGCCCAGATGGTACATTTGTGGAGAATGTGCAACATTCAAGTTTGCGAGAGAAGGGAAAGAAGTATTTATGAATCAAAACTTTTAATTAGGTTTCAGGTGCAGGGGTAACTTCGGTGTATAGGTTAACATGTTTCAGGTGCAGGTATAACTTAACCTATACATGTTGTGTATGTGTGGTTCAGTGATGTGGGACGATTCTCAAGACCGTAAGGGACATTACCACCCCATACTATTGTTGTTAGTTGTTTATTTTCCAGTCTTTTTTTTTTTTTTTTAAACTTGGCATTCTTTTCATTCTTATTTTGTTTTATTACCTTGGGGTCAATTTTTTTCATTTTACTCATGGGGTGTTTAGATTTTTCACCTTTTCCCTACTTCCTACTTTTGTTAGGATTTTCAATCTTGCATTGAGAGGGGTGGGGTGGGGTGATTAGCCTTTTTGTCCTCGAAGGCATAGCAGTGTAGTGAAAGTTGGTATTTACATCTTATACTCTGTAGTGCTTTACTCTGCTCTGTTATCCCATTGCAAATTGTTACATTTGTTTTCACCTCTCTGGTTATTTCTTTTAATTTATTTTTTTATTCAAGGTTTATTTGCGTAGTTTATACATACATCAGTAAAGGCAAATACAGGGAGTGCAGAATTATTAGGCAAGTTGTATTTTTGAGGATTAATTTTATTATTGAACAACAACCATGTTCTCAATGAACCCAAAAAACTCATTAATATCAAAGCTGAATATTTTTGGAAGTAGTTTTTAGTTTGTTTTTAGTTATAGCTATGTTAGGGGGATATCTGTGTGTGCAGGTGACTATTACTGTGCATAATTATTAGGCAACTTAACAAAAAACAAATATATACCCATTTCAATTATTTATTATTACCAGTGAAACCAATATAACATCTCAACATTCACAAATATACATTTCTGACATTCAAAAACAAAACAAAAACAAATCAGTGACCAATATAGCCACCTTTCTTTGCAAGGACACTCAAAAGCCTGCCATCCATGGATTCTGTCAGTGTTTTGATCTGTTCACCATCAACATTGCGTGCAGCAGCAACCACAGCCTCCCAGACACTGTTCAGAGAGGTGTACTGTTTTCCCTCCTTGTAAATCTCACATTTGATGATGGACCACAGGTTCTCAATGGGTTTCAGATCAGGTGAACAAGGAGGCCATGTCATTAGATTTCCTTCTTTTATACCCTTTCTTGCCAGCCACGCTGTGGAGTACTTGGACGCGTGTGATGGAGCATTGTCCTGCATGAAAATCATGTTTTTCTTGAAGGATGCAGACTTCTTCCTGTACCACTGCTTGAAGAAGGTGTCTTCCAGGAACTGGCAGTAGGACTGGGAGTTGAGCTTGACTCCATCCTCAACCCGAAAAGGCCCCACAAGCTCATCTTTGATGATACCAGCCCAAACCAGTACTCCACCTCCACCTTGCTGGCGTCTGAGTCGGACTGGAGCTCTCTGCCCTTTACCAATCCAGCCACGGGCCCATCCATCTGGCCCATCAAGACTCACTCTCATTTCATCAGTCCATAAAACCTTAGAAAAATCAGTCTTGAGATATTTCTTGGCCCAGTCTTGACGTTTCAGCTTGTGTGTCTTGTTCAGTGGTGGTCGTCTTTCAGCCTTTCTTACCTTGGCCATGTCTCTGAGTATTGCACACCTTGTGCTTTTGGGCACTCCAGTGATGTTGCAGCTCTGAAATATGGCCAAACTGGTGGCAAGTGGCATCGTGGCAGCTGCACGCTTGACTTTTCTCAGTTCATGGGCAGTTATTTTGCGCCTTGGTTTTTCCACACGCTTCTTGCGACCCTGTTGACTATTTTGAATGAAACGCTTGATTGTTCGATGATCACGCTTCAGAAGCTTTGCAATTTTAAGAGTGCTGCATCCCTCTGCAAGATATCTCACTATTTTTGACTTTTCTGAGCCTGTCAAGTCCTTCTTTTGACCCATTTTGCCAAAGGAAAGGAAGTTGCCTAATAATTATGCACACCTGATATAGGGTGTTGATGTCATTAGACCACACCCCTTCTCATTACAGAGATGCACATCACCTAATATGCTTAATTGGTAGTAGGCTTTCGAGCCTATACAGCTTGGAGTAAGACAACATGCATAAAGAGGATGATGTGGTCAAAATACTCATTTGCCTAATAATTCTGCACTCCCTGTATGTGTATCAGGAGTAATATGTAGCTTTACAGTTACACGGTATAGCACATTATTTGATAACAGACCATAATATGAGCCTACAGCACATGGTTTAATCTGAGTATGTCTCAGTGTATGTCAGTCTCAGTATGTTATTTTAATTTAGGTCCGAATATCACAGTGTCAAGTCGTGGCATTGGGTTGATAGCCAGTTATGTCAGGCAGTTCTGGTTTTGGTGGAATTATAAGTGATAGGTTCCGTCGCGTTCTGTCACATGAAGTCAGGGATTAATTATGTTTCGTTTGCTGGGTGCTGTTGGCTTATAATGGTAAGACAGTACATTTAGGCGTTGTAACAGAGAGCCTATTTCATCTTAAGGTGCCTATCTAGCCTACTTGGTCTAAGTCAACGTCCAAGAGTTGTTAGCCTAAGTCAGTAGAAACCTCCGTTTAATTTTAATGCATTAGATAAATTGTAGTAGTGACTAGTGGCACAGGTTTCCTGTGTTTGTTTGGGCTGTTTGGTCCATCATTGCCTGTATGCTGGTTCAGAGCCTAATTAAGCACATTTGGCCAAACAGTAATGACATAAGACTGTGCAAAGCGTAGTATAGGTCATGTCAAGTTTTGTAACAACGTTGTTCCCTCCTTCCAAAAGGGGGAGACGTAAAAAGGGAAAAGGGGCCTACGTGAAGTCCCCATTTAAGCACCGGTGGGAGTATCTCCCAGCAGTCTAAAAGGGCCTTGTGCCGTGCACGCGTGGCCAGGCATAGTAATACATCCTGAAGTAATGTAATAAAAGGAAAGAAGTATGGTGATAGCAATACAGGTATGGAACATATACATACACACACACTCACACTCACTTCCGCTTAACTTTAGTGAGCATATTTTCTTTACGTTGAATGTGGGAAGAACATGCAGGTCCCCTCTCCCTCCCACCCCCCAATCCCTGGTTGCTGAAGGGGTGAAAACCCCTTCAGTGACTTGCCAGAGGCAGCGATATGTCACACGTCGCTGCTTCTCCTTCCGCCGCTGCTCCTCCTCTGCATTACGGCGGCCGGTGGGCGAGACTAATACCGCCCACCGGCGCATTAGAGCTCCCCATAGGAAGCTTTCCTATGGGGAATTGAGCGACGCTGGAGGTCCTCGCACAGCGTGAGGACATAAAGCGATGCTCTTGCACAGGTTTTCTGTGCTATGAAGGAGGAAGTGCCCTCTAGTGGCTGTCTAGTAGACATCCACTAGAGGTGGAGTTAACCCTGCAAGGTAATTATTGCAGTTTATAAAAAAACTGCAATAATTGCACTTGCAGGGTTAAGTGTAGTGGGCGTTGGCACCCAGACCACTCCAATGGGCAGAAGTAGTCTGGGTGCCTGGAGTGTCCCTTTAATATAGATTGCCTAAATAGGAAATGTGGAGAGTTGGTTTTAAACAGACTTAACTGGGAGACAAGAAAGTGTTAATTTGCTCCTGTGTCTCCCCATTTCTGCCCAAGAACAAGCTTTCACAGTGCTGCATACGTGTGTGTGTGTAACCCTTTTCTATCTTCTGTTGTATATTTTTATTTTTTGTTTAATTTTTTCTTTGTAGTTTATTGTTTATTTTTCTCTCATTGCTTGCTAAAACAGGGTGACAGCAGTATTCGGTATTTTGAAATCACTGATGAGTCTCCTTATGTTCACTACCTCAGCACATTCGTCAGCAAGGAACCACAAAGAGGGATGGGTTACATGCCAAAACGAGGGCTAGATGTCAACAAGTGCGAGATTGCTAGGTATGGCTTTACAAAATCAAGAGGGTTGTCACTTCCACTTGTGTTGGTTGGCCAATTATATGTCTGTCCATCTGAATAAAATAGTGATTCCCATAGGCCAAATTGTGTTCATGTTTTTGTTCGGTTCATCCAGGCTACCCTAGAATCTGCATACAACCAATAAAATAAAGGTGCATTAGTCATCCTATGATATATAAAATATGGCAATATATGTATGGCACATGCTGTAGAGTAGAGATTAAAGGGACACTCCAGAACCCTAAGGCACTTAAGCTTGCTGGGAAGATTTGAATGTCAGACATCAGGCAAAAGAACTGCAGATTTTGCAAGCTGATTTTAGATCTATATTCCCTATGAATAAAAAACATAATGCATGCAAGTTTTCATTTGGGATATATCTACTAAACAGTGATTTTGGTTTGTATTTGGGCAGTGAAGTGTCTCTTTAAATAAACATGCTTTCTTCTTTTGTCTGCTCAAAATTACGATAGTTAAAAGGTAAACCCGTTTTAAATTTAAAGGGGAAATAACACTGTTGGCACTCTGTAAAACTTGTTGGTCTCCCCCCAGCCCGTCTGTGCTCGTTGGTCTCCCCTCCCAGTCCCTCCTGTGCTCGTTGGTCTTCTCTCCCCGCGTCCCCCTTTGCTCGTTGGTCTCCCCTCCCCGCGTCCCCCTGTGCTCGTTGGTCTCCCCTCCCAGTCCCCCTGTGCTCGTTGGTCTCCCCTCCCAGTCCCCCTGTGCTCGCTGGTCTCCTCCCAGTCCCCCCAGTGCCTGTTGGTTCTCCCAGCGTCCCCTGTGCTTGGTCTCCTCCCAGTTCTGTGCTCAAGGCAAGGGTCTCCCAGTCCCCTGTGCTCTGGTCTCCCCTCCCTGTCCCCCTGTGCTCGCTGTCTCCTCCCTGTCCCCCCTGTGCTCGCTGGTCTCCCTCCCAGTCCCCTGTGCTCGCTGGTCTCCCTCCCTGTCCCCCTGTGCTCGTTGGCCTCCTCCCTCCCGCCCCTGTGCTCGTTTGGCCTTCCTCCTCCCCGCCCCCTGTGCTCGCTGGCCTCCCTCCTCCCCGCCCCTTGTGCTCAAGGCTCTCCCCGCCCCCTGTGTCAAGTGGATCTCCTCTCGCCCTCAGTTTCGCGGGTCTCCTCCGCCCCCTGTGCTTCTCAAGTGGTCTCCCCGCCCCTGTGCTCGCGGGTCTCCCTCCCCGCCCCCTCTGTGCTCAAGTGGCTCCTCCTCCCTGCCCCTCTGTGCTCGGCCTCCCTCTCCCCGCCCCTCTGTGCTCGGCCTCCCTCCCCGCCCTCTGTGCTCAAGTGTTGGTCTCTTTCCCCCAGCCTCCTCTGTGCTCGTTGGTCTTCCCCCCAGCCTCCCCTTCTGTGTTTCAAGTGTCTCTTTCCCCCCAGCCTCTGTGCTCGGGATGGTCTCTTCCCCCAGCCCCTCTGTGCTCGATGGTCTACACCCCCAGCCCCTCTGTGCTCACCTTTCTTGTAGCATGGCCATGCCGTGGACTGGAGAAGAGGGCTGCACTCACCTGAACATGCATACATTATAGGGTGCTGCTGGTGCCACAATATACAAAATACAGAATCCAGCGCACTCACTTATGTATTATGTATCATGTTCAGGTGAGTGCAGCCCTCTTGGTTTCATTTATATATTTGGGAGTCCCAGGCCAACTCCTTTGTTTTGCACTCCTTCCTGTCACGGGTGCCTTATTCCAGGACCCTATTTAGCCTTGACTTGCAGAGAGTTCCAATAAGGAAGTATTTCCCAAGTAAGTGGGTTAATCTCATAAGAGCAGACCTTAGGCTGTAAGAGTAGGACCTGCCAAGAATGGGGTACATTGATGTCGTGGCAGGCTTATGCAATGTATGATCATATAATGTAACTAAACCCCCATAATTTTTTCCTAGGTGAGGTGTTTTTAAATAAAACTATTACAATCTCTAAGATTTGAAATCATTGTTTAGTGAATAAGTGAGTGCGCTGTATTTTGTATATTTTGGCCCCAGCAGCACCCTATAATGTATGCATGTTCAGGTGAGTGCAGCCCTCTTGGTTTCTTTTATATGCATATATATGCATATGCAAGGTTTATAAAAATTTGTGTTGCTGTAGGGAAGCTTGCATTGGGTCCACTGTGGTGCGGATTTTTACTTTGTGAGGGATTTTAAAGTGTAAAAGAAAGTAATTCAACAGACCAATGTTAGATCTTTTTATTCATTTCTATATTAAAGGTTCTACAAACTACATGAGAGGAAATGTGAGCCAATCATCATGACTGTGCCCAGGAAGGTGAGTGATTGCAGTAATAAGACATAAATATCTAAATGTAAGTGGAACTTCTGCTTTGTTATGGAGGCCATGTTCTTGTGCTATTGGTGCTGCAAATAAACTCTTGATTACTCATTTCCTCTCTATACGGTTTCCCTTCTCTCCACAGTTACTTCTTTCTTCCCCCCTTTTTTTTTTCCTGCCAATTCCTCTTTTAAGTCCTGTGCTGGACCTTTCCCTTCCTATTTTTAATATTAAAGTGTACCTGTCCCTATCAGATATATTCCATATTGTGTCCCTATCATATATATTCCATATTGTGCGGACATACTTACTGGTGGCATGTTGCAGAGTTAATATCGATTTGGAGAGTTTGTTGAAGAAATGCTTCGCCTAGGAGTCCACTGCTTTGTGCAATGCGTCATGTCCCCACTTGTTTTCACATCTCCTGAAAGATATATAGGCTTTTCTATTATAGAAAAGAAAGAGTAGCTTTATTTGCATTATTGGTACCATAAAGTAGGATTGGGGGTCCCTACTGTGGAACATTATTACAAAGCTACTTCATTACCTCTCATCGTCCTTTTCTGTCCAATATATGCTTTTGGGTTGCATTTGAAAATAACTTTATTTCCATTATTTGGTTAAACAATTACTTTGAATAACCCACTCGAGAGGCCGAATACTACCCCAATGTACCATCCACCTTATGCTATAGTCTAAATGCTATTTGTCAAAATTCCTGAAATTATACGTTCCCAAAGATTATATGTTCCCAAAATTCCTGAAATTATACGTTCCCAAATTATACGTTCCCATTACTCCTACTGATCGCCTATAAGTCCTTAGTATATTTCCATTTGGTGTGAAACCTTAATGTTCAGCGAAACACCTGCTATTCAACCATACATGGATAATGGAAACAAATGCCATCATACTTATATAAAAATCTATGTGAAATATGGCCTCCAACCTTCTTAACCCCTTAAGGACCAAACTTCTGGAATAAAAGGGAATCATGACTAGAGATGTCGCGAACTGTTCGCGAACTGTCTGCTGGCGAACAATAGCGTGTTCGTGTCGGGCGAACATATCTGATTTCCGGTCCGCCCCCTATACGTCATCATTGAGTAAACTTTGACTGACTGTGAGGTTCCGGGTCAAAGTTTACTCAATGATGACGTATAGGGGGCGGGCCGGAAATCTGATATGTTCGCCCAACGCGAACACGCTATTGTTCGCCGGCGGACAGTTCGCGAACAGTTCGGCGGACAGTTTGCGACATCTCTAATCATGACATGTCACACATGTCATGTGTCCTTAAGGGGTTAAGAGGCTTTCTAAATGAACTATCTTAAAACCTTAACGATCACCACTGTTTCAGTTTAGATACCTTCATATCCTAAAGTACAGTCTATTTTTCTATGTTTTCCTTTTTTGTTTTGTTACTCATGCTCCTTTTTCGTCCTGATGTTACCTAATGGTTTTGGCTTCCCCTAGTAGATTTCCTGTTGCTTCAGATTTATATTTGTTACATTTGTATGCCTTCACATTTCTGCTATGCCGAATCTTGTGTGATTATCCTTTTTTTAAATTTTTTTTTTAATTTTTACTTTCTAATAAACTCTACGTTTGTTGTAAAAAAATAAAAATAAAAACCCTTGCTCGTTTCAACGGAAGTCATTCTGTATGAAAAAAAGCCCCTCAACACCTCAATTGTTGCGAGGATAAATAGATCAATAATTTGCTACTTACCAGCAAATGATTAACTGGTATATAAAATAATCCTGAGTTCTAATTTCTCCCTTTTGTCGTCTATCCTACATATAGGGGAAGTGCAAGTAGAATATGCATTTTTAGTGCTAAACTGTTTAATTTTTTTTATTTTATTTTTTCCAAGATCCTGCTACAAAATAAAATAAAGTAGTGAAAATAAGTTCCTACCACACCTGCCTGACATGTAGTTGCATGGACTCTCTGACCTCCTCTGCATGTGATTACTTAATACCAAAGCCACAGGCTGACAATTTTCAGTTTTAATGTAAATGTTATACTTTGAAATTTTAGTCTGACCTCTTCCAAGATGATCTGTACCCAGACACCGCTGGACCCGATGCTCCCATTGAAGCCGAGGACTGGTTTGATGGAAAGAATGCCGACCCCATCCTTATATCCTTGAAGCACGGATACATGCCCACCAAGAACAGAGACCTCAATGTCGTCAAGAAGAACATTCTGGGTAGCAAACCAGCAGCCCAGAAGAAGAGTGACTCAGCCAGCACCCCTAAGAAGGCTGCTGAAGTTTCCCATCCTGTAAGTAAACAAAAGCCCAAAGCAGATGGCTTAATGCATATGCGTCCACATACACTACTACATGACAGCTGACAATTAGCATAGGCTGCAGGCTTTACTATTTTATTGTGTGTTCCATGTTCTACCAATAACTTGTAGAACATGAGATGTAACAGACTGTGTTTATTATAATCGTATTACTGCACCCATTTGCATTGACAACTGTCTGTATTGACTGTTTATTCACAAAGTACTTTAATTTAACAGGAACAATTTACTTATCATCATAATAAAAATTTGCACTAATAAAGCATGGCCAAATGTATTTCTGAAATGGTTTCTTTGCCTGCCGGATACTTGATTTGTGTTCAACGTAACATACTAAGGACTTGAACAAAAACTGAAAATCAAACCATTGTCATCGATTTAATTATTTTCTCTGTAACATGTCAGGTTAGGTGTACTGGCATTTTTTTTTTTTTTGGTTTAGTTTTATTTTTTATTTTTTTATAGAGCTAATGGTAGGTCCAGAACGTTGGAAGGATGAGATAGTTGTATGGGTTACAAAATGTTAAGCATATATTCAAAATGGAATAACTTATTAATACTGAAGAGTTCTGAGAAAATTCAAAACAGTCTATTCACAAATCCTGAGTTTTATCTGTTGGGTAACTCTGAGGCAGGGCTGACCATAAATCTGCTCACTAGTCTCAGTGATTTTCAAAAGCTCCTACATAGAGACCACTTAATTGAGTTGTAAAGCCAATATTTAGAAGTGCGATATGTCCTCAAAATAACTATGGACCAGCAAAACTGTGTTTGGGTAGTTTTCCTGTTATGATTGTTTGTATGGTATACAATCTCTATTTCTCTTTGCTTTATAGGCCAGTGACGGCAAGATGGATGAGGTGATGAAGGAGCTGCGATCAATGAAAGACACCATCAGGTCCCAAGGAGAGAGGATCTTCAAATTAGAGGAACTAATCGCCAGTCTCACCAACAACGATGAGTCAGAAGAATGAATTACCCACGCTCCTGGTTGAGCTGGAGGTGCCCACTGCCAGACCGCATTCCACTCAATACTTCTCTTCGGGCCCAAGCGATGATCAGCATACCAACACAGACTAAACGTCACTCCCAGTTTAACACAGAGACTTTACTCCTACCCCTTCAACCAGGTGCCTCCACTTAAGATACCTTTGTGTCATTTCAGGAGTTTTGTATGCTGCCAGTAACCCAACTCCTGAACTGTCACAATCTCCTGATTTTCCCAATTCCTTAAGTGAGCCTCTTATTCCAAAGGGGAGAGAATAAAAAGCCTCTGGTTAATATCAACAAACTTTAATTAAAAGCCAAGATTTTTACCCTCGTTATTCAAGTGTTACATGAAATATGCCTGTTTCCAAGATCAGTACAATATCTTTATCTTCTTTTTTTTTTTTTTTAATTTTAAAGTTTTGTTTTTGACTTTTTTCTTTTCTTCAGAGTAGGGAAGGGGGGTGGGGGATGTAAAGGATGGACCAATGCCACAATCTATTATTTTTTGCCAAAAAGACCTTGTGAGGTTGCAATATTGGGACCATGCATCATATAGTATTTTTATTTTTAATGTAAAAGAGCAAGCACTGTGTTACATTGTCTGGAATCGCAAGAAAATAATTACCCATAAAAGCTTCATGAGTTTTATATAAATCTTTTTGCTATTATTGTGCACAAGCGTTTCTTTTGGCCTGAGCGCTCTAGTGGGAAGCAAAGGTGGGAGAGACAAGTTCCTGGTGAAATGCACCTTTTTATATCCAAACCAGGCTGATCTGTTTTCAGGTTTGCAGCAAAAAGAAAGATGTTTTGTCCCTGCCAAAAACTATGGGAAGAATCAAAGGCATCAGAAAGACGTTCCATTTTCTATTCCAGGAAGACCTATTAATCATAAACAAAGGCTCATGGCCTTAAATATATACAGGAAAAGGGTTATTCTTTTCTGTATGATTTTGGCAGCAACCATTTTAATCTCAAAATCACTGTTGTAGCCAATAACATAGTACATGATCATTGTGTTTTTAATTAATCCAGAAAGCCCTGTTGCAGAAGTGTGCAATATCACTTAAGCCAGCACAGAATCGTTGTGAAAGCAACTCGTGTAGTACGTGGTATAGACTCAATAAAGCATAGTGCATGTGAGAAACACACCTCTGTTTCCTTCAAATGAAAGCCAACCCTCCTCTATGACCTAGAATAAATTGTGAGCTGGTAAAAACGAAACCTGTGTGAGATCCCTGTTATACACAGGAAACCTTGTGCCTTATATGTGCTTGTAACCACCTGTTTCAATTCAACCAGATGTCTCCTGATCCAATTTCAAAACAAAGTGAGAGCTATGGTAAACTTACTTGCATACAAGGGGCGGATAAAATAATGAACACACCACATAAAAATTAAGAAATTATTTTGCACCTGGAAACGTGACTCGTTACTTTTTATTACCAATTAAGTTTGTGCCTGCTATTAAAGGGATACTGTGGCCAGGGGTGCCCAAAATGTAGATCACAAGATGTTATAGAACTACAACTCCGTTCATGCTTTGCATGCATTTTTAGAAAGACAAAGCTTCATGGAAGCTGTAGTTTTAAAACATCTGGTGATCTACCTTTTGGCATCTTATTTAGGTTTTTCCTGCAGTCCTGCCCCTCTTACTTCCCAGCTCCCATACTGTGACATCACGCACACGTGTCACAGTCAGCCATAGAGAATCATTGTAGGTGCTCTATGAGGAGCATTGGATTGGCCCATATGCAACCCGAGGAGGAGGTCACAGCTGCACCATGGGAGACTTGACACTGGGGAAAGGGGAGTAATTTTTTTATTTATTTTTTTAATAGACTTGGTGGGGGCAGAATAAGGAGCATCAGGAATATAATGTTTGGAATACATACATGTGCTTCTTTAAAGAGGTTAATAATTTGTGTTTTAAATGTGAGTTTAAAAATTACAACACAAGTCAATAAGATTGAAAAATGGATATGACAAGGGAAACATTTCTAAAAACGTACATATGTCACACATGCCAAAACTCATCCTTATGAATAGGCAGACATTCAAAGGATGTGATAAACCTTTAATATGAAACGCTTTGAGGCTTGACAAATACCACAATCCAGTTCAGGTAGAGCCACATTGCAAACGGAAAGGAGAAATAGAAACATTGAGGATAAAAAGGAGTGGATTTCTACATTTTATTTTCCACACCTCGCGCATATATATATATATATATATATATATAATAATTTTTTAAAAAAATTTAAATACAGGTGATAAATAAAATATTACAAATATTGAGGAATGACCGTTTCCCATTAAAACATGATTGAATTGGCACGTCTTCTACAAAGCCCTCTTGTGTAAGGTTTAATGATTATGTATAATTGTGCAAGAACAGCCCTATTTTGCAAGATGGTGATGTGCTCATATGCACTGATATAAATAAAGAAAGAAAGAAAGAGTGGTTTTATACACACAAGGATAAAGGCCGTTACCCATAGAAATCCTCTGTCCTTTAATTCAGGCATGATTGACCCTTAATAAAAAATTAGAGTAGTTTCATTGAGTTGTGGTATGTTGGCTATTTTGCCTATCCTATTGCCATGTGTGTTATGTTGTGTTTGAATTAAAACAGCACGCAATACAAAATAACTTGTTTACAGCATACCTTTTTAAGCAAAAGAAAAAAATTTAATGCCACTTGTGTAAATGAAAGTGGTAGAATGTACAGTTTAAAAACTGCACTGGAGAGGAGACTTTGGAGTTAACAGTTTGTGAATGAAATTTCAAAAATCCAGAAATTTCCCTTGAATCTTTATATGTGAGGATTTCTCAAACACAGATTAAACCGTTTCTATTTACGTGCTGCAATGCAAAACAGGAATACCTGCTCTCTGTCTGGAGCATGTTTTAATGTTTCTTTTATTTTTTGCCTCCAGCAAACAAAGAGTAGTAAGGGAAAGTACACAGCAACACCTTACATGTCAGTTTATACACTAATGTTTTATATAGGCTTCACTAAGTGAATTTGTACGTACAAAATGTTTAGCGCACCAATATGTGTAAACAATCAAAACCATGACCACAAAGCAAGTAGCCCTTGCTACTGAACATAGAGATGTTTTTAATTTTTTATTTTATCTGCAGTAGCCCTAGTTTTTAAATTATTTCATTTTTCTTTTTATCATTGACCTTTCTACTTGTGGGTCTACAGTTCACCCTGTTTCTTGGATAAAACGGTTATCCCTATTTAAAAAAAAAAAAAAATCATTGAAGATTTCGCACATTATGCAATATGAAATGTACAATGCCTCATGTGTGACAGCACTTAAAATCATTTATTATTGATACATGCTGATTTTTATTTTTGGGAATATATATATAATATTCATGCTGGGTCCCGCACTCCTGCTCCCAGTCTTGTTTATTGCCTAGGTGCCACTCCAACCTCAAAATATGAAATACCTTGTTGGAAGTGCACTCACAGGACTCGATACTGTTGCCAAAAATGTGCCATTTATTCAAGCTTCAAAAGTTTATTACATAGTGTCGACGTTTCATTGATATATCATAGTTTATGTTGCTCTTATGGTTTGGCTTTTTACGAATGAGTTGTATAACCCCTTAAGGACACAGCTTCAAAAGCTTGTCTTGCACTTAAGGACACAAGACATTTTCACATTTTTTGCTGTTTGCGTTCAACTGCAATTTGCATTTTACTATTTTATTGCACCGACACATATTATATACCGTTTTTTTAAAGGACAAAAAGGGCTTTAAATTGATGTAACATATACAAATATAAATGCTTATTTATTATAAAAAGAAACACACAAAAATGTAAAAATAGTTTTTTTTTCCTTCAGTTTTTGCAATAATAATATGTGCATAATTTGTGCAGGTTAAGGAAAGTAATTAAAAATAAATTAATTTAGTAGTTCTGATTTACAGAATATATAATGTGTCTGGGATTTTCAGGTTTTTTTTTGGTAGTTACAGCTCACAAAACACAAGGAGTAAAATTAATTTTTAATGTGGAGTGATTTTAGAATTTGGTATGTTTGTCTTGTAAGCTTAATAGCCATAAAAGAGAACAAAATTGCCACACAAAAGTATATAATTATATAAAGAAGACATCACAGGCTATTTAACATTATTTTGACACTTTTTATGTAGCCATTTCACCGCCAATATATTACCGCTAAATATTGGACTAAAATTTAGTTTTTTTGACACACAAAATTATAACAAAACTTCTCATGTGTATTTCGTAAAGTTAGTGTGTGCTATTCCTGTACAAAACCTAATTTTGTGTTCAGCTACATCTGCTGAGTACAACGATACCCCCATTATATGTCTTTGGCACTATTTCGTGAAGCTATAGCGCCATATAGGAGACCTGTGCATTTCGGTATTTACAGTAGAATTTCGAGAGACTGATTTGATGGGCCTATGTTTCAATTTGGGCCACTATAGCAGTTTGACTGTTGGAAAAAAAACCCACAAAGGCCTACCATTTGTAAAAGTAGACACTCCAGGGTATCTCATATGGTGCATATTGTGCCTTAACATGCCCCCATTTTTTCATCAATGTATGTCAAAGTTTGTGGTAAAAAATATTTTTGGGCATTTTTAACATTCGCATTACTTTTTTGCTGGGCATTTTGTATATTTGACATGTGCCATCATGATCAAAGCCCCAACATTATGCTCAGCTAAGTCTTCTGAGTAAAATGACACCCCCATTGTATGTCTTTGGCACTATTTTGTGAAGCTACAGCGCCATATAGGAGACCTGTCCATTTCGGTATTTACAGTAGAATTTTAAAAGATGGGTTTGATGGGCCTATGTTTCAATTTGGGCCACTATAAAGTTTGACTGTTGGAAAAAAAAAACACAAAGGCCTACCATTTGTAAAAGTAGACACTCTAGGATATCGCATATTGTGCCTTTACATGCCCCTGTTTTTTCACCAATGTATGTCAAAGTTTGTGGTAAAATATAATTTTGGGCATTTTTTTACAACTGCATTACTTTTTGCTGGGCATTTTGTATATGTGTCACTATGATCAAAGCCCCAAAATTATGCTCAGCTAAGTCTTCTGAGTAAAATGATACCCCCATTGTATGTCTTTGGCACTATTTCGTGAAGCTACAATGCCATATAGGAGACCTGTCCATTTCGGTATTTACAGTAGAATTTTGAGACGGATTTGATGGGCCTATGTTTCAATTTGGGCCATTATAGGAGTTTGACGGTTCGAAAAATCCCCACAAAGGCCTACCATTTGTAAAAGTAGACACTCCAGGGTATTTCAAATGGCATATTTTAAACCCTAGCGTAGGATCATTTTTTTTACTAGTTTGTACCAAGTCTAGTAGCAATTAGCATTTTTTTCTGCCGTTTTGACACACACTTGGAGATGTTACTGTATATTTTGATATCCTTATGTGTGCTACGGCAGTATAACATCTATTATGTTGCTCAGCTATGTTGTCTTAGTACAACAATACGCCCATGTGTACCTTTTTCAGGGATATGTGGATGTTGAAGGGGCACTTTGGAGACTAAGCCGTATCAGTTTTTTTCAAACTTTGAATTTTGACGCTGGGTCCATGTGCAATTTTAGAGCATTTTAGCAGGCTGATAATTCAAACTACCCCACAAAGGCCTACCATTTTTTTAAAGAAGGTATTAATCACCGTATTAACCTGCATCAAACTCTGGGGCTCTGTCTGCTGATAGAATTCATAACTTCCTAAGCATTTTTTACCTTTCACACAAGAACTTTAAATAATGTTATACATTTTTTTTTTTTTTTTTTTAAATCTTTTCACCCCTAGCGTAACACTAAACTTCCCAACTTCCTATGAATTACCACGCACTCTAATTAACTAACTAAAATTAGAAAAATAAAAATGATGAAATAATCAGTCAGATGTAAGAATTGCAGCAGCCTCCTTGGCCCTAAAGTTGTCAGCAACTTTAAGATGGAAGAACTAAATAATAACAAAAAAAAAGTGTGTGTGTGTGTATGTGTGTATATATAAACAATGTGCAACTTATTCTCCCTGGGTGTGAAAAACTTTAAAACAGTTGCCAATACAAAGGCCGGGCTGAGAGGGGCAATAAAAGCTGGTTTGCGTCCTTATGCCCCTCTGGTAGCACAACCTGCACCTTTTCTGGGGTGTCTTCTTTTTGGGGGTTGGTGGTATCCGGAAACAGAAGTGACCTGTCGCAACCCTTCTGCTGCTAGGCCCAGTTGATGGTTCCCCACTGTGGCACTCAGTGAGCAGCCCAGAAATAAGCTGAAACTGGAAATCCAAAAATGTGGATTTAATGTCAGCATTTGCATTTTAGCACAGAATTAAGGCATTGTGAGTCGCCATTTGCATAAGGTAAATGCCAAGCTTTTTGTACCATGCCCTGGTCTTCCTCAGTATTAAATAGGGTTGCTGCAGTTGGTCGGACAGGCCAACTGCCCCCATGTGCTTGTTATACTGCCTAATGCAGACTGGCACCCGTCTAATTTCTTGTCTGCCACGAACTGCGACTCTTCAAGTGTGCTCAGTATGCATAGATGTTAGCATGAACACCTCCTTCTTATCTTTGAATTTGAGAGCCAGCAGTTCGTCCTAGCAGAGAGCAGCTGTTTCCCCCCCTCGAGCTTTTTTTGTGCCAGGGCTTTGGGAAACCGACAGGTGTCTTTCGGATAGTGCCGTAGGCCACAGTTTCAAAGCAATAAAGCATCCTAAGAAGAGGGATGCTATTATAGTAATTGTCTATAAATAAATATACCCCTTATTTAGCAATGGGTTAATTAAATCCCATACGATTTTTCCACTCGTCCCAATGATATCCGGGCAACCTGGGGGATCCAAGTGGCTGTCTTTACCTTCGTAAACGCGGAAGGTGTAAACATAACCACTGGCACTTTCACAAAGTTTATACAACTTTATCCCATACCGGGATCTTTTGGCCGGGATATATTGTTTAAACCCCAGTCTGCCCTTGCATTTCATTAGAGACTCATCTAAACAAATATTTTTTTGTGGGGTGTACACTGAGCCAAACTGTTGAAGTGGGAAATAAGGGGGCGAATCTTATAGAGATTATCTCTTGGGGGGCACTTCGAATTGTCGCTGAAGTGTAAAAAGCGAAGCATTGCTTCATATCTGGACCTGTTCATGGTCTGGGAGTAAATAGGGGTGCTGCATACAGGATTTTTGGACCAGTACATCCTAAAGCTGGGTTTTTTAATAATGCCCATTAGCAACTTAACCTCTGAGGGTACAAAAAAAAAATTAGATCACAGTTAAATACTGTGATCAGTATACTGATCACTGCAGGCAGTGATCAAAAGGACAAGGAAAGGGTCAACACTGTTTTAAAAGTATTAAAATCACTTTTAAAACACAGATACACTTTATACTAAATTGACACACAATGTTTCAGCACAGATCCGTCTCTCTCCACTTCTCAAACCACACAGAGGTGGGGGGAGGAGGATCAGGAATCCCAGCAGCACTGTGATCGCTGTGACTGGCTGTCACAGCGATCACATGTGCTGGGACAGCTCTATTGGCGGTTGCTGGTCTGCCTCTGACATCGAGGCACCCAGCAACAGCGTTAACCCCACGATCGCGGCGATCTGGCGTTAACGTTAGTAAATGACAGAGATTTTCCATCAACGGTCCTTAACGCACGGACAAGCTTGATGGAAAATCTCCGTCGTCGGCAAGGGGATAATCGAGTTAAGATTCAAACTTATTTCTATAATTGACTAGTTATGTCTGATAGAAGTTCCTGCTAATACTTTATTTTGTTCGAGACTGAACATTGTTGTTATCCTACAGTAAGAATGTACTCAATGCATTTTGTGGTTAAATATCAGAGTTTATACTGCTTTTATGTGTAGATTTCCCCCATGCTGATACATACTTGGACCTGGAGTAGTAGGAGTTAACAGCTGTCTCTAAGAGTGAAATTCTGTATCTTGGTCAGTATGTGATACCACTTTGATTGTATACCGATCGCTCCGGTCCAGTATGTATTCTCTGCTTGGGGAAAACATTTTGTTATGTTTTGTATATATGTAAATAGTTGAGTTTGTTCACTTTAGGTATGTTCAATGGTTTTATTGAATACTGCATATATAATTAATTAAACACTTTAGTAATTGGTACCATATGTTATACTCACGATGCATGTGATGTAATTGAACCTCGTTAGTGTTCCTTTACCCTCCAATCAACAGTTCACAGTGTATATTTAAATGCAATGAGTCAAATTGGTAGATTGTCTTGAAAAAAGTTCCTAGTGGATTGAAAAGTCGACACTATGTAATCAACTTTTGAAGCTTGAATAAATGGCACATTTTTGGCAACAGTATCGAGTCCTGTGAGTGCACTTCCAACAAGGTATTTCATATTTTATTTATATATATATATTTTTTATTATTATTATGATATTTATAGAGCGCCGTCAAATTCCGCAGCGCTTTACAATGGGTGGACGAACAGACATGTAGTTGTAACCAGACAAGTTGGACACACAGGAACAGAGGGGTTGAGGTCCCTGCTCAATGAGCTTACATGCTAGAGGGAGTGGGGTAAAATGACACAAAAAGGTAAGGATAGTATTAGACTAGTGACAGTTGCAGAAGAGGAATCAGTCAGGAGCTATTAACAGTTTAATTGATACGCTTTTATGAAGAAGTGGGTTTTTAACGATTTTTTTGAAGGAGTGGAGACTGGGTGAGCGTCTAACGGAGGAGGGAAGCGAGTTCCACAGGAACGGTGCAGCCCTTGAGAAATCTTGAAGGCGAGCATCAGAGGTGGGAGTACAGACAGAAGATAGACGTAAGTCTTCAGCAGATCGTAAGGGCCTAGACAGCATTATGTAGAGATTTGAAAGCAAGAACCAGAATTTTAAATTGAGCTCTATATTTTATAGGAAGCCAATGTAGGGACTGACAGAAGGGTGAGGCATGGGAGGTGCGGGCGGACAGGAAGATGAGCCTCGCCGCCGCATTCATTATGGACTGTAACGGCGCTAGTTGGGAGCACGTAAGACCACTGAGAAGCGGATTACAGTAGTCAAGGCGAGAAAGGACAGTGGAATGGACCAACACCTTAGTCGCATCTGTCGTTAAGTAGGGGCGGATGCGCACAATGTTTTTGAGATGGAAGTGACAGGATTTGGCGATAGATTGAACATGAGGCTTGAAGGAGAGGTCGGAGTCAAAGAGAACAACTAGGCAGCGAGCCTGCGTGGTGGAGCTGATGGTAGCACCGTTGACTTGGAGTGAGACAGACACAGGAGTAACAACACTTGAGGGAGGAAAGACCAGAATTTCAGTTTTGGTCAAATTTAGTTTAAGGAAGAGGGCAGCCATCCAGTTAGAAACAGCAAAGAGGCAATCAGAGACACTAGTCAAGAGGGACGGGGAGATTTGCGTGTCATCTGCATAGAAATGATATTGGAAGCCAAAGGAGCTAATGATTTTACCAAGGGTGGCAGTATAGATGGAGAACAGTAGGGGACCAAGGACTGAACCTTGGGGGACACCAACAGAGAGGAGTTGGGGAGAAGAAGCAGAGCCAGAGAAAGAAAGAAACACTGAGGAAGACCCGAACGGGTCGAAACATTGATCAAGCAACCTGTAAACCTTCTATAAATTAAAGACTGTTAATATTTTCAAAAAGACTGAATAGTGCATCTTTTTTCAATCTCTCTCTCTCTCTCTTTATATAAACAGATAAAATTTGTATCTTGTAATACCTTTTTTTATTGGACTAACAGAATTTTTTTACATCTACATCACTGGACTAATACGGCTACAATCTCTACTTGAACACTATAGATAGAGAGATTATATATATATATATATATATATAGAAATATATCGATAGATATCTAGATCTCTCTCTCTCTCATATATATATATATATAGCAAAATACAATAAAGAAAAGGGCCTACCCACGAAAAAGAAATAGAAAGGAAATAAATGTTAAAATGTGGTGTGGTGGGAGGGTCATTCAACGCTGACCTCGAACGGCAAGGAGCAAGGTAAAGGGTGTGCCTTAAGTAGGCTAGGAATGGATACCAAGCACCTCCCACAAATCCAGGCAAATTGCCTTAATACTTGTGTTAGGTGCTCATGATAGTACAGAGTAAAATACCATAATTAAATGTAGGATAGTAAAAAGGGCAAGTCGGTTGTGGTGTGCCAGAACCGACGATGTGGTAGGCCTGAGAAAGAAGAGGGCAAAAATTAAGTAATCAAATTTATTACAGACAACCAATACAGATACATATATCAACCAGACACGTTTTTGAAAGCATCCCTTAATTCTTGTACTGGGTTCGGTATGTATCGTGAGTAAGCGGATGACTTCCAGCGCCCCAGTGTTTTTATAACATGAATGATATGAAGGAGCGGCCTTGAGGTATGATACGCATGGCAAAATTTAGTGACCCCAGCAGGGACTGTAGCTCTTTGCGGTTGCAAGTACCGAGCTGAAGGTAGCAGTTGATGTAAGTAAGAATGTTCTCTATCTTCTCGTGTGGTAGGCTTGCTTGCATTGTGGTTGAGTCTAATTGAATACCCAGGAAAGTGATAATCGTGTCTGGCCCCTCTGTTTTCTTAGAGGAGATTGGTGATAGCTTTTAGGCTACTAGGAGGGGAAGTATTTTCCTCGACCAGTAAGAAGTTGTCCAGGTAATGTAATACCGTAGGGCATCTGGCTATGTTCAATAGTAACCAGCACAACGCTTCTGCAAATGTGTCGAAAATAGCTGGGCTACTTTTGGACCCAAAAGTTAAACCGGAGAAAATATAGTAGTTCCCGGCCCACTTGATTCCATGCAGGTGCCACAGTGTGGGGTGGATTGGTAGCAATTTAAAGGCATTAGTAAGATCGGTCTTACTAAGCCAGGCTCCGACCCCTGCTTGTATGATCGCTGTAATGGCGTGATCTATGGTGGTGTATTGCAGGGAGAATTCCTCTGAGGGTATGAGGGAATTAAGACTGGGGTTGGCCGATGAGTGTGGTGCAGACAAATCAATGATGAGTCTCTGTTTAAGGGAGGATTTCCCTGTGACAATACCAATGGGGTTAGAATGCCATTCTTTGAATGGAGGAGCTTTGAAAGGCCCCAATACGAAACCCTCAGCAACTTCTTGGGCTATGAAAATGTCAACAGCTGTGGAATTATGTTGTGCGGATTGTAGATTAGGGCATTCCATAGTCCTGGATGGTATGTGTAGAATACCCGTGTGGAAGCCTTCTGTTAAACCAGAGATAAGAAAGTCCACCAAGTGTTTAGACGGGTGATGTGACATAAATGCAGTAAATACCGGCATATTAATGGACGTGAGGTAAGGCTTAGAATACATTTTATTTGGACACATGGTTTTTGCATGTGCCCTAAAACATTTTAAACAGATATGCAATAATCTGCAACCACTATAATTACAAGACCCAACATTGAAATTATTACATATCTGGGACTTGCCCAGGAACTTGATCGGGCGTCCCAGTTTGTCTCTGGTCACTTTCTCTGGAACACCAGAGGAACTAGCTCCTTGCGTGGAGGCATGTTCGTCAGCCGTGTTGGGACAGAAATTTGTTGTATGGGCTGTAGAGGAGCAGTATGCACAAGCCGGTGTTCTTAGACCTGCAAAGTGTCTGCAAAATATGACGGTATCTATCCTTCCCCAGTTGGATCTTGTTCCATACTGGGAGAACGCTCCAGACACTTTTGCAGAAAAAGACCTATGGTAGTCATAAAAGGCTGAACCACCATATTTGTTGCCCAGGTCTACCAGCTTGTGCATATAAAGATCAAACTCCTCTCTTCTATTGGGATAGACCGCACAGATGACATCCCGGTAAATACCAAAGGCCAGTACAAACTCAGGGATAGTCCTTTCCTGTTTAGGCGGGCGTCCCTAGAACTGACAACAACAGACACATCATCATAAGCATAAGTCTTATTCTCCACAATATCCTGGGAGGCAATCAGCAGGGAAGCTAGGTTGACGTCTTTACCTTCCAGGATATCTCTTTTTACGTGCTCAGGGATCATATGAGCAGGTCTAACTTCCTGGTCATCCGAGGTGATGGTTGGAGGAACCAATAGCAAGTCGTCTGGTGCTTGTGAAGCAGCAGCGGGTGGCCCTGCTAGAGTAAGGGCCGTGGTGACCGACTCAAGTTTCTCCAACCTGGAGTTGAACTTGCTCATGGACGCCATGAGTGAAGAGAACATGGAATGTATGTCTCCTGGGTTGGACTGGCTAGGTCCTTCACCGGGATCCATGTTGTTATTTGAGGTACGTAGCAGTTTGAAAAGTTCTGCTTTCCTTGCTGTAGCGGGGTAGGGGATTTGCCGTCTCCTTAATTCGGTAGTTATACGAGGGATCGTCCAGGATCTGATCGATGCTGGACTATTTACCTCTCCTCCTTGTGTAGGAGTGATAGCTCTAGCCGGAGTGCTAGGCAGGGAGAAATCCTCTACCCCTTCCTGAGACATACTATAACCAAAACAATTAATTAGTGTATGAAAAGCCACCAAAATCGTACTGGCAGGCTAGCTAAGCCGGATGGCGAAACATTACACTTGTTTGGTGACAGGTGAGGCCCTACTAGTTGCCAAGCGGCTTGAGAGGCTCTATCTATGCGTTGGCGCGAGGGGATTTGAGGTCACCTGTCGTAGTGGCAGGAATTTTAGGCCTATCGGTGACTGTAACATAGAAAACAGGGAAAGGGAGTGACAGGTGAGGCCCTCTCTATGCAACATGCGAGGCGGCTAGCTAACGTGTGGCCCGATGGGTTTTTGCCTCTGAAACGTTGAGGCGGGGTGTTGGCCTCGCGGGACCACTAACTGATGGCAATGCCAAGAAGGGGTAAATACCTCTTGGGAAGCCTATGACCCTATTGCCAGTACTCTAACCTAGGGGGGAGAAATTAAATGTATGGTAGAATACCATATGAGCAGGTGTACGTACCTGGTAGTATGAATATCTCACAGAAAACAGTGTGGTGAAATATCTATTTAAACCTGGACAGCCTGAAAATGGGTAAAAGAGTAGTATAGTGAGTGTGGACTGTGTGGGAATTAAGTTGACTGTGTAGCCCGTACCAGTGATGTTTTTTAAGGCTTGATTGGCGCATTACTTGGTAAATGAAGTGTAGTGATTTACCATGAGAGTATAAATGTGTTACCAAGGCAAAGTGATGCCGTGTCTTTAATGCACAGTTCTGTATAAAACAGTTGGGAATATATGATGGTGTCAAGTAGAAAAGAACATGGATGAGGGAGGCTGTGGCCTATATTTCTATTATATTTAAAAGAAGAAAAACTACCACAACAAGAGGACATAGTCTTAAATTAGAGG